GTGCCATTCTGTTCCAATCCACACATCACTCAGGTTTCTACAAAAAAACACTGAAGTCTTCATCTCTGTGAAGTTTCTCCATGAAACTGAAGCCAGATTTAAAGATAGGTAGTTAGTGTAGTTAGGTAAATCGGGTCTAATATTGAGTAAGATAAAGAAAATGGAGACCATTATCGAGAGTGGAGTCCAGGAAGCCAGAACAGCATCTGGGGAAATTGAAATGGCCCGGAACCCATCCTAAGGAACTGTTAATAAAGTAGCTCCCAGTAAACAGAGAGGTGCTAATCAAACCACCCCAGGCCCTTCCTGCTCAGATTACTCCTCCAGTCCACCTAACTCCCACCTGCATTCTATCACTGCAGAATGGAGGGAAACAAAGGACAGGAATGTGGGAGGACTAAAAGAAGACCTTAGATATAAAAAAGGGAAGACCTCCCCCTTCCACAGATTCCGCCTTTTGGGTCCCCTTCTTCCTCGGGGGAAAAGTCTTTCCTGCTGTCCTTTAATAAAGCTTCCACTTTCCACTCTCCACTTGCCTCTGCGTGCTTCTCTGGTGTTAGACTCCAGCATTCAGGGAAGCAAAGACTCATCACATCACGGGTAAACAGCGTAACAAAACGTTTACCAATCTGACTTTCTGAGCCAGCTTTCTGAGCCACCATCATCACTGTCTGGCAGACACGGGGAGAATTCATTCTCTGACCTAGCCACCAGGGTGCGGTATGGAGAAAAGTTGCCCACACATTCTTCCAGTACAGAATAAAGCAATTTAGTTACCACTGTTTACCTGTCAGGCTTCCTGTGCATTAAATAAGCTTTAGGGGAAAAAAAAAAAAAGTCAATACCCACTTAAAGTATCATTTTTATAAAGGTGAGTAGTAATACTTCTCAATTTAACATACAAGTGAAATTTTAAAGCCAATTTTTTATTTGGAAACTGCCTGAAATATACAGAAAATGATGCCACTTTAATGACCTGTGGATTCCTTCAAATGTTTTCTAAATTTCACCCATCCTAAAACCCACAAAATTTAAATCAAATTTTCTAAGAGAAACTGTAAATAGTTGGGTAAATTTAGCTGTTGTCTACAACAATTTGAAAGGCTTCAGAAATGGTTTCTCAAGCAGTTTTTTTTTTTTTTTTTAATACCAGGAATTGAACCCACAAGGCTTAAACACTGAGCCATATCCTCAGCTTTTTATTGTTTGAGACTCTGTTGCTTTGGATCTAAGTTGTAGAGTCTGGCTTCAAACTTGCGATCTTCCTGTCTCAACATCCTGAGTTGCTGGGGTTACAGACATGTGCTGCTATGCTCGACCTCAGGCAAATTCTTAATGCAGCATTTCCTCTACTTTTAAAGATGTCTATCCCTGTTATTAATAAACTTCAAACTGGAAAGAGATTATTTTAGCTTGTTTCAGAAAAAAATTTCTTTCTGGAAAGCAAATTCTCTTAAATTTCTACCCAAGAAAGTTCCTTTAAAATAAGTCTCATTTTAAAGGGCTGAGGTTGTGGCTCAGTGGTAGAGCGCTAGCCTAGCACGTACAGGACACTGGGTTCGATCTGCAACACCGCATAAAAATAAATAAAATATTGTGTAGAACAACAACAACAAAAGTCTCATTTTAAAAAGATTTACTTCAGGGCTAGAGTTGTGGCTCAGCAGTAGAGTGCTTGCCTAGCATGTGCGAGGCCGGGGGTTCCATCCTCAGCACTACATAAAAATAAATAAATAAAATAAAGATATTGTGTCCAACTACAACTAAAAAATAAAAAAAAATAAAAGATTTACTTCAATCCCCAGCACTGCAGAAAGGATTTTGTAATTAGCTAGGCACAGTGACACATGCCTATGATCCTGGCTACTTGGGAGGCCAAAGCAGGAAGTCTGCAAGTTCAAGGCCAGTCTGGGCAACTTAGACCCTGTCTTCAGATAAAAAAGGAATGGGGATATAGCTCAGAGGTAGAGTACTGGCCTAGCATGTGTTGGGCCCTTGGTTCAATCCCCAGAACTGGGGAAAAATTATAATAAAATCAATTCCAGTTTCCATCTGTTCATGCAAATCTCAAATAATAAACCTGCTCTTAATAAGTTGCAGCCTACCTCCAGTTTAACATAGTGGTATATTTTACATTTATTTCAATTATTACTATTGTGAACATTAACATCAACCCATTTCAAACGAAGCTGGCCATGCTTCACTCAGTCCTGCACTGCGCTCCTCCTCCTGTGTTTCTGGCTAGACATTTCTCTTTCTGCAAGTTTCTAAGGAAGCACAGGTTCACCTTCTGTTTTAATCCTGCCATGGGGTTTTGAACACTAAATTCTAGGACTTTCTGAATGTTTCACAGTAGATGTTCCAGAAGAAAATAATTAATAATGACTATAATTAATATTCCAAATTATATTCTGAAATGACCACTTTCTGTGCTCAAAACTATCAACTAGAAAATTTCAACAAAAAAACCCTAATAATCAGGAAAGCCACTGCCAGAGATACTAAAGTTTATCAGTGGAAACAGTGATTTAAAACATACTTTTGTGGAAATGTACATTTTGGTTATTCTGATATGAAACTAATACTATCAAGGAACTAAAAGACACTAAGATTGAAGTTTTGTGTTAGGTCCAGCAGACAGTAATAAGCCTCATTTAGACATTGTTAAATCTATGAAATTTCAAGGTTCTAGAGTTTGTTCTTCAAAACACATTATTTCAAACTCCAATAATGTAGATTTATTTTTATTCAGAAATTCATATTTGCTACCTGCAATTAAAAGTTTAAAATTACATGGCTCTTAGAAGTAATGTCAAACATGATGTAAGAGTGACAGATTTAAACAATAAAATTTTGCCCTCTTAAGAAATTTATTTATCAAATTATTATGACAGAAACACAAATGTATCATATATTACTCTTTAATTAGATCTTTGTTTTACAATATGTTGTTCTTGTCAATGGGATACTTCAAAAATGTAAGCCTGACAGGAAGCATTTTTTAAAAACGTACCATTGGAAGGAAAAAAAATTGTCGTCTTTTATACAATATGGAGATGGGAGATGGAACGTAATCATCTGGGAAGCTCTTTCTGAATATTTTCTTTTCAGTCTATTATTCTTTAACCACAACTTTTAAAACAATTTGAGATTTAAAACTGATCTCTTGTTCCTAAGAAAGAAGTGTGTCCACTTTCAATATCCACTGTCATTAGTACCCTCTGAATGCCCCCCGTAGGTAGCTGTTTCTGGATAAATCAGTTAGACTGGTGCACACTCATGTAGGAAGTCCTGTCTCATGGCTGATGACACACAGTGTTCACAACAGTAAAACACTTCAGGAGGGAGATGGGATTCAGAACAATGCCCAAAATATTGTAATTAGGGGAAATAACCCTAGATTTAACATTTTAGATCTCTCCATTATGAGGAATTAACCTCAGGGAAAAGGAGAGGACTCTAAATGTACCGATTTGCCCTCACCTACTCAACAGCAGCTGAATAAGGCCACTTCAGCCAGAACCCAGGACAGTACTCTCCCCTTCAGCTCAGCCTGGCTGTCCAGTGGGAGGTGTTGAAATGGGAAGGGCGGGGGCACTAAGTACCTAACACTGACCGAAGGACTGAAGTGAGGAGATTAAGGAGCTACAATTCAAGTACCTTCTGAACACTGCAGCAATTTCTGGTGGCCCCACAAGTTTGGACTATGGTTTTGGGAGAAGAGGTAAAATTATTAATAATAATTCCCTACTTTAAACCAACAGAAAGCCTCTTAAGGTCTTCTTTTAATGATAATATAAATCTGAATTATTTTTGGGGAAAAAAAAAATACAGATTTAGGTAGGACAACTCCAAGGAAATAGTAAGCCATTGAGAGTGACAGGACTTGACTTCACTAGGGACAGTATGGGATGGGTGCCCACCCTCACCAGTTCCTACTCTAAACCCTGGCATTTCAGTCTGAGTATAGATAATACTGCATTTTTGTACCATCACATGCCACTTACTCTTGTCCTAGTCACCCTACATACTCTTAATCCTTCCCTTAGGAACACTTTTTGAAACAATGTCCATTGTTACTGTTTCAAATATCAACCAACACATATATTAAAACTCAGATTTTATCTTTAACATAAAAGTGCTTAAAACCATCCTATGCAACTGTTTTTCACTTCATTTTTTTACCCATAAAATCAAACTCATTTAGGTTTATGAATAATACTGAAAAATTAGTTAATCTGATTCACTTACATTTAAAATAATATGCCTTCATTCCAACTTTCCTTTACATTAACTGACTCACTGTAGTATCTTCATGAGTTGAGCTCATTTGGAAAATATAGAAGGTACAAATATATAGAACTTTTACGATAAAAAATTTTTGAATATAAAAATGCTTTCTATGTTTCAAAATAACACTTATAGATTTTCTTTAGAGTTTTGGGCTTAGTGTCCAACCCATTAAGTACCCAAGGTTTTGTTGTTATTGTTTTAAATAACAAAGGTAGTAATATGGTTTTAAATACAAAATCATACAAGAACCACTCAAGTCTGTGGATCTTCCCCACAGAAAGTTCAGTTTCTTGCTAAGAAAACCCCTAAATATTTTAGTCATTACATAAAATTCCATTATCAAAAACTAGTTTAAGATACAAATCTACAAGATTGAAATCTATGCGCCTTAATGATTGCCAGAACTGCCCAGCATAGCTTCCGTAAAATAGAGAATTGTTTAAAAAATACAATCTCCAAAATGTGTGCAAGTACTGCAAACTGGACAGACCAGGCAACACCCTCAGCACCGAGTCCTTGTTCTTCTGCACCTCTCCCAGGTCCCAGCCCCTCTGCAGCCTCATGCGCGCCACTATTCATACTGCACCGCCAGTCGTGATGGATCTCGGTGCCGATCAGGTGTCCAGGAGAAAGTATGAGTTAGGCAAGCACTTTGTTTTAGCTGTAAACGCTTCCCATGATGGGTCCCCGTGAGAAGGTCTGGGAGCTTAGATGAGCCTGGAGCTTTTCAGGAACTGAATGAGAACTCTGTACACAAACGTGTACTGGCAGAGGGTCTGCACCAGCATCATTCTCTGTTGCCTCAGCATGTCCAGCACTCTCGGGATGTCCAGGACCTGCGGGAGAGCAGCAGTGAGGAAGGGAACGTACTCCCCAGGGGAAACAAAGCACAGGGGAAGCTGTTGCCATAACGTAAACCTGGTTAGGAGATGGGCAATCTCTCGTCTAGCTTAGTGTCTTCAATCAGTTTCAACTACAAATAAAACATTCATGCAGATTATGTCTCAGACATTCCCTAGGTGTTCCTCACTGATTTTGGTTACACCTAAGTCACTATATTTCACCAGATACCAAGATTCAACAAAAACACAGTGTTAAGTGCTATCAGTATCTAGCTCAGCATTTCCCTCAGGGATCAATGACCACTATTAAGTATCCTTGAAACATTAACAGGTATTGCAGAAAAACAGAGTTCTGAGCTCATATTTAGGGGAAAAAAAATGTGTAAAACAAAGTTAAACAGCCATACTTATTTCTATGATGTTTCAGTCTTTAGTATACTAAAAGGTACTGAGAATTTTTAAGAAGAAAAAGCCTTTTGCAGAGAACACTGAATAACATCTTGTGGTTACCAAAGTCCCAAGAAATATGTTCAAACAGAACTATTAGCTAGGCACCAGGACAAACACCTATAATCTCAGCTCAGGCAGGATGATCACAAGTTTGGGGCCAGCCTGGGAACTTAACAAGACCCTGCCTCAAAATAAAATTGTAAAAAGGTTGGGGAGGTAAATCAGTGGTAGACTGGTTGCTTAGCATGTGGGAGGCCCTGTGTTCAATCCCTAATGCTATAAAGGGGGTGAGGGGGTGCGGGGAGCTATTAGGTCACTACGCCCTTCTCCTTCCCAGCCTTATTCCCAACCCATTCATTATTCTCCCCACCAAAAGAGGTCGGGCTTAACACAAAGTCATCACCTCATTGTGTTCCAGACAAGCAATCATGATCTCTGACAAAATGACCACACCGGTTCTTCCTACCCCAGCACTGCAGTGGACCAGCAGAGGAGGGTTGGGGCTTTTTGGTTCACTTGTACTATTTGTATGACGTCGAACAGATTGGATCTCCTCAAGGTATGCTGTAGAGGGGAAAAAAAAAAATCAATGAAATAGAAAAATACTTGGGGATTATGGCTTATCAGACTGCCAATTCAATTTCCCTAAGCCTGCAGATAAATACAGCATAAAGTACCATGAATCAATCTCAAGCCTTGGCTGGGACTATAGAAATGTTTGTACCTCCAATTTCCTCATCCCCAACTGACATATAGAGGACACTCACTAAGAGACAGGTGTGGCATTCCACTCAGCACCGAACTATACTTTAAAAACAGCCCTGGTAACCTCCCTACCAAAAGAAGTCCAAAGCTTATGCGAGGCAATACAAAGTAAACATTTCAGAAACACATCTCCATTTCTGGCCAGAGAACGCTGTCCTGAGAACAAGACACTTACACAAAAATCCCTTGAGGTCCTCAGGACAGCCATGCTCAGGCCAGTCTGTGTACTGGAGATGCCACACTGTCCTCTCTTGCCCCGTGAGAAGGTGCTTCATCTTCAAGCCTGTGGTGGCATAGCAGCCAGAGTCTGTGCGGAACCGGGTTGTGATCTTAAATCTTCCATAGGTGACAGTGTTGTGCCTGGAACCAAGTCGTGGCCAATATCTAAAGCTCTTCTCCCTTCCACCTTCCTGTTAAAGACACGCACAGATAAAGAGTGACACAAAATATAGCTACACAGATGCCCTTCACCCAGACAGCACTAAAACTCGGAACTACAATCCTACTCTGCCCTTTCCACAAAAAGGTCAGAAAGCCATGTAATTCACATTAACAGCTCTTTGGAGGCTGAGAAAATCAATTAAGAGAAATGAATACTTACCTCTTCTGCTGTCACCATTGCTATAATTGCAATTCCCTGTTCCCATACCATCTGCCAAAAATCCTGACAGGTATTCTGTAATGGCCCCTGTGTGGCAATATAATCCCATTCAATTCCACTGACAGAGACCTGAAAGTAAAAAAGTTAAAAAAAAAATTACTCTGTGTGTATAAAACATACGTATCTGTGTATGTGTTCATGGTAGTACTAAAAAAGTGAACTGGATCCCCCAGCAGAATAATGAAAGGCTTATATGTTAATCTTTTTCTAGTCAATACAACTTCCATTATTGGCACCTTTATAAGGTATGTGCAGTGAATTCATGTAACATCTATGTGACCTGGGGCAATTTGCTAATTTCTCAATCTGTTCTTACCTAGAAAATAAAAATACTGCCTACCCTCAGAAGGTTGCTGTTTGGACTGAGTCAACATAGATAGTGCCTGGCAAATAATAAGTAAACAGTAAGCAGCTGTTACTGCTGCAATAGTTTAGTTCCTCTTGTAAAAACAGTATCAACATCACAGTACGCAAAAATTCTCCCTCATTAAGTACTAAATTTGCCAGGCATCATTATACATGCCTATAGTCTCAGCTACTCTTGAGGCTGAGACAGGAGGATCATGATTTCAAGGCCCACCTCGGCAACTCAGAGAAACCCGTCTCAAAAGAATAAATAAAAAGGTCTAGGGATATAGCTCAGTGGTGTAGTGCCTCTGGGTTCAATTCCTAGTATTGGTTAAATAATAATAATAATAAGTACATTGAAAAAAGCATTCACAATTAAGCAAAAGCCTAAATTAAACAGGAGATTTCTAGGGAAAAGGCTATCTTCCTACATAAGGTAGTCTCACCTCTAAACTAACATCCTTGAGTACAGTCTAATATAACAGAGTAATAACTGGATTTGTAGTCTGGGAAACTGGATTACATCTCAGCTCCACTGATATATATGTATGTGTTTTTTAAAAATATGTTTTAGTATAGGTGGACACAATATCTTTATTTTATATTTCTGCGGTGCTGAGGATGGAACCCAGTGCCTCACGCATGCTAGGCGAGCGCTCTACCTCTGAGCCACAACCCCAGCCTATTTTTATCTTATTTACTTATTTTTATGCTGTGCTGAGGATGAACCCAGTGCTTCATAGTGCTAGCAAGCACTCCACCACTGTTCCAACGTGACTGATGTTTTGTGACAATGGTAACAGTTTTCTGAGCATGCATTAAACATAAAATCCTGGGCAAATTCTGCTGCACACACACACTCATCTGAGGTTGCCAGTCACAGCCCTGGCTCCACATCCTTTCACTGAGCACCTCTCGGAGGCTGGCGTGCAGCTGGGCACAGGTTGCAACAGCGGTCAAATGGGAAATCTGTGGGGTAAAGGCATCACGCTCCTTTTTTTAGAGATGAATCAACTGAGGTCCTGCCAATGGTGAGTGGCAGATCAGGAATCACCCTGAGCTAGCCAATTCTGAAACCCCTAGTCTTTCAACTATTCTTTAGGTTGCTGCTAGAGATCTTTAAAATAAACCTACAGACCCACAACATTGTTCAATTCTTATCCATCCAGTCAGAAACAGGATGAACTATTCCAAAGAAATGCTTGGTTTCTGAGTACATGATAGCCTTGTAAAAAAAAAACAAAACACAACAATGGTATGTGTATAGATTCCTCAAAACCTTTTAAGGGTACCAACAAGCATACATGTAGCCAGATCTCCAGAAATCCTTAGGTACCAGATTGCTCTCTTTTCAAATATGACTTGCAAACTCAAGAAAATGTGGAAAGAAAATCAACATTTGACCACAGACACTATTTCACTCACTATAAGGAGATTTCTATTTCCAAAATAAAGATTTGAATTCGAGCCAGCATGAACAAGGGTACAATAATGGAGGAGAAAGAACATCTGTCTTATTCAGCCACCTGCTATGAATCATTTTTTCCATTTTAATGCTTATAACATTACCCTAGTTAAATGGCATTATACTGTTTCCAGGAAAAAGAGGGCTTCTTTAAAGTGATATTTAAAAAATGATCACAGGGAGACTGCAAAGAGAATAGATGGCACCTCCAGAAGTAAAAGATTTTTCTTATACAATATGAGATTATATTTATTAGCAGCTTTTTCTCTGTTGTTACAAAGAAAGAGTGCTATGTTGAACAAATAACGAGGACTTGCCCAGTTTCTGTTTCTGTTGATGTAGACTGTGCAACATGGATCTGATCAATATACAGAAGTGAATGTTTTTTGTTAATACCATCAAAAGCCCAGACACATTTGTTACATAAAATCTCACACAAAGTGCCAGGTGTGGCGGCACATGCCTGTAATCCCAGTGACTCAGGACTCTGAGGCAGGAGATCCCAACTGAGGGCCAGTTTGTACAACTTAGTTAGTGAGATCCTATCCCTCTGCCCCTGCGCCCCCCAAAAAAGCTAATGCAGGTGTATGACGAGGTGAAAACTAGCAATTCAGCAGATTCTGTGCGAATTTATGAGCCAGAAAAAAGTCTTCAGATTTAGCAGGACGAAGTTCTAAAGCCAGGCAAATAACATGTCCCACACCCTGCTACCAACATGAGGGCAGAGTGGTTTCCTACAGGAAGAGTATTAGGCATCACTTTGGCTCTGATAAGCACTTTTTATCTAGCATTGGTATATGGGATTCTCCAGCTGTAACAATGTAATGACATAGTTGTAACAATGGTTCAAAACTGGGGTGTTTTTAGAACACATGAATATAATTTTTAAATATTTAACCCCAAGTTAAATGTGCCGTTTATCACCCTAGATGTTCCTCTCACCTTGATATGTGATGCATTGATGTAACCAGTGTTGTTCTCCTTGGTTGGGACAAGCTCCACTCTTGCATCATCATAGGGAAGGACATCTTGGAATCGATTTCTTTCTGCATTTTCCGGGAGTCGGGCTATTGAGCACTCTCCATCAACTAGTCGTTTTTTAAGAATTCTTTCATATTCTGTGAATACCATTCCCTGTTCTAACCGCTGTTCCAGAATTTTACACTGCAAAATAGAGTATGTGGAATAAAATTAATATATTCACATGTCACAGCTGCATTTTAACTGTACATTTAAAATCTGTTTTCTGCTTCAGATCTAGTATTATCTAATTTTGAAAATTCTACATGAAACCAAACTTGAAATTTTAGCAAGCCATAACAATATGGATTAAAAGAACGAAAGACATACTCTTCTTGGTAACATACACAATGCAAAATGCTGCTTAAATTTGAAAAATGGCCTAAAGAAATTTGTTGAGCTTGTTTTGAAATCCATGGTCAATTTTGTGCCATGTTAAGAAAAAGAATTCTCCTGGAGAAAATGAATTCCAGAGTAGGACAATCAGTTCCAACATCTGTGAACTATTCTAAGATTTATAAATGGCACATAAAAACACTCCAAGCAGGACGGGTGCCGTGGCGCATGCCTGTAATCCCAGCAGCTCAGGAGGCTGAGTTCAAAGCCAGCCTCAGCAAAAAGCAAGGTGCTAAACAACTCAGTGAGACCCTGCCTCTAAATAAAGTATAAAATATAGGGCTGGGGATGTGGCTCAGTAGTCAAGTGCCCCCAAGTTCAATCCATAGTACCCCCACCAAAAAAAAATGCTCAAAACAGTAGTAAATGTTGTCAATGATCTCCAGGATCAGGTTGTAAGGAATTTTCATGCCTGTCTGATTTTTATACCATAAAAATCTCATAAAAAATACCCTAGTCTCACAAAGGAAGTTTTGAAAAATTTAGTAACTATTTACTCTTGAGATAGATTTTCAATATGATGAAAGCAGTCAATGTTTGTTTTCTTTCCTAGGTATAATCATACACATTTGTAAAGATCCTCTCACTATAAGGCCATCAAAAATCAATAACCTGCCCCAAATGGCTTGCAGAAGGTACAGAACAGAAACAAACAACAGGAAACCAACATTCAAGGCTGAGACTAGATATTAAGACATAAGCTGTACATATGCCCAATTTTGTGGCCTAGATGAGAAAGTTCTTTAACACTCATTTAATGACTATTAAATTATGCTACAGATTTCATTGACGTCTCACAAAGGCATTTTTGCAGTATTTACCAATTGCCCCAGAGAAGGTACAAAGCCAGGGCATCCTGCATGTACATACCCTTTCATCATTTGTCGCTCTGGTGGATACTTCCTTTCCTTCATCAGGTAGAGGCAATCGAGACAAGGAGAGTCCATTGAGGGCAGCCAATTTAAGGGGACCAATTTTTTTTGTATCTACTCGAGTCTTTTTCATTCCCTATAAAAAATATTTACATGTATATATGAAATATACACCAATACAGTCCTTTGAAAAGAAATCTCAATGGGCTGAAGGCTGGTGACAAAGGGAGTGTCCTCCTCTGCCAAAGGAGGAGAGGTTTCAGTCCTTCACAAATCATTTGTTTAATAAACATTAGGAGGAAGACATTCCTTTCAAGGCCAAGGCCCTGATAAGTCTTTCAGATACAAGATTTTGAAACTCAGTTGGTTACAAGGCTCTGTTGCAATGAAAGGTGAGGCTCAAGGCAAGCAGCATTCTTTCATAGAACTCCCAAATTTCAAAAGAAGACACAAAATATCAGCAGCAGTCCACCAAAAAAAAAAAAAAAAAACTTTAAAAAGGCAATCATCTAATTATAGTAAACCTTCACAATATTTTTTAAATGTAAATTTTAAAAATCCTGAAGAGGCCAGGTATGGTGGTGCACACCTGTAATCCCAGCGGCTCAGGGGACTGAGGCAGGAGGATTAAAAATTCAAAGCCAGCCTCAGCAATTTAGCTAGACCAGAAGCAACTAAGTGAGACCCTATCTCAAAAGAAAACATAAAAAGGACTGGGGATGTTGCGCAGTGGTTAAGTGCCCCTGGTACCCAAAAAAAAAAAAAAATCCAGAAAAAAAAATATATATAATCCTGAAAAACTTGAATGCCTTTTGCGGCAGCTCCCTTTTTTCCCACATCCTATTCTACGTTCTGTTGCAGAACTGTGTGACCTGGGATGTGTCATCACACTTCCTAAGAAAGGCCACAATGTGAAACAAGGAAAATAAAACTGCTGAAATCTCTATCAGGAAGATAGGGTAAAAGAGAACATCAACAAAATTTCACCTCCAAAACACAGGTATTCCCTAAAGTTATTATTAATACTAATGATTTTCTTTGTGACAGTATATAAATCTAAGAATGCTGTCTCCTTGGATATCCTATACCTCCTTGGAAGCCATAATAATTATAAGGAGAGTAGTCCCAATTTTAAAGAAAAGGTTTTCTCTGTTCTGTCTTATAAATGACTTTACTCCAGTTCCATCAGCCTAAAAAAGGCCATAAAACCCCAGGATCATAATAACAGAGCAAGAACAAAGAAAAAGGACATTTTGGTAAGGAGAAAAAAATGCTGAAAGACTGCTACTATAATTGGAGAATATGATTGGTAGTTATCTTGAAAAGTTAACTAGAATAAGTGTTTATTTATTTGTTTGTTTATTTTGGGGTACCAGAGATAAAACCCAGGGGCACTCAACCACTGAGCCACATCTCCAGCTCTTTTTGTTTGTTAATACAGGGTCATACTAAGTTGCTGAGGCTGGCCTTAAACTTGGGATCCTCCTGCCTCAGCCGCGCCCCCCCCCACCCCTACCCCACCCCCAGTCACTGGGATTACAGGCATGTACCACTATGCCTGGCAACTGAAATAATTTTTAATTTTATAATTCGTATTTGATCATGAGCTTCCCATAGAATGGCATCTGAACTAGGAAGAGGTAGAGTCCTGGGTTAAAGTCCAGCCTCTGACTAACATCCTTCAGGAAGTCAACTTTTCCCCTCTAAGCTTCATCAAACAGAAAGATGGATACAGAGAGACACACAGATTAAAAGTCCTGCTTTGGCTAAAGTCTCATGATTCTAATGTGTGCAGAAAACAGTGGTGTGCTGGTAATGTTTAACAACTGGCTCTGGAGGAAAAAGTTCTGATCTGAACTTACCAATTTCTGTAGTATAAATACTCCTATCACTGCCAATTTCAAACTGCCAATGTGATATCAACTAGCTCACAAGATTCCTGAAAACTTCATAGTCAGCTCCTGTTAGCCAGTATATAAGCTGGCTCCAGTACTTCTAGGCTGGATAAAGTTAATTGGCTATAAGGTTAGTTCTAAAGACTTGAAGAAAGTCTAAACTAGCCTTGAATATCCTTTAATTAGCCCTGAGAGGACAAGTACATGGTTTCAAATGCATGATCTGCACAGTGATTTTTTTACATGAGAACCACTGCACAAGACTAAAGGGTGCATCAAAGAGAAGATCTTTATGTAGATGTATAAGTACCCAAACCAGTCTGCCTTTGAGATAATAATCAAGTCCCGGGAGGTGGAGGCAGACAGATACAGAATTCTAAAATGGTCCTTCTTGTCTGCAATTTATTTTAGTGCTTTTAAATACTAAACCTTTTTAACCTTAATTCACATTAGTCTATTTGATATTTTTTTGTAACAATTATGCAAGATAATGGCAATCCCATGTTACCATGAAGGGGTCAGAGGATTTAGCAAGAGGCTGGCCTCTTCTACTTTTGGGAAATTAGTAGTAAGTTAAAATGTATGATGCAACCTCACAGTAATAAGTTATTACTGACTGGGCACTTTTGATGTGCCAGGACTTCATCTGGGGTCAGCATCTACAAATAAGAAAACTGAGTCACAGAGAGAACAAACAGCTTGCCCAAGTTCACACAACTGTGTCTTTGAGGAATCAGTGTCAAAACAATTTTTAAAAATCTCTCACTGAAATTAGTTATGATGAATCATTTAATTCAGAAGGCAATTTTGCATGCCTAACCTCAAGTGGGACATTATTCTATGAAGCAAATAGGCAAAGCAGAAAGACTGTCCCTGGGTTATAGATACAGAAGCTGAAGTTTGAGGGTCCAGCCAACCGAACAGAAAACTAACAAATGGCAAAGCCTAGACTTAGACCCAAGGCTTAGGATTGGTATTCTTTCCTCTTGACCACAACTGCTATCCACTTTCTTTGAGGAAGTGAAATCCTTATGCAAGGGTTGCAGGAGGGGTGGTGGGGACAGCCTAAAAGCATAATCCAGTTGCACCATTTTATCAGTATTACAGGTCTTAAAAGTTAATTAGAGAAAATTTGTATTTTAAGAGAACCAAAGACCTCCGATTTAGCTGAAACTGCCAGGCTCCATTTAAAACATAACAAGGATAATCTACGCTTGACTACTGGGCTATACTCAAAAAACAAACATCATTTGGAGAAAGTACTTGGGTCACACATAAAAAGAGTGATATCTCTTACTGTAATAGAAGAGTCCATCCTGTTGGCTCAGGGGCTCGGGTGAAGCTACCACAGAAACCCCTTATCCCTGCTCTGAGATCAATAATCAGCCTATACCCTCAACCTCGGTCCTCTTGAGACACTAGACTTTACATTACAGAAAAAAAAAAAGGATTGTACCCTCAGGAAAAATTAAAAATAATCTTAAAATTCAAATCCAAACTAATTAAAAGAAAACACATTTAAGGTTTCGATCCTTAGCACCACATAAAAATAAAACACATTTAAACCTGTGGTAGTTTTTAGGTAGTTTCTGTCTATACATAATGATCTATTTCACATAAACACTATAATAGTGTTTGAGTTTTCTCCTGCCCACTGAGATGTTTGTAGTATTTTTGAGGCTTTCATACACTAGACTGGAACCATACTTGAGATGGACCCTGGATCTGAGTGTATAGTTTAACCCAGATGAGGGAGGAGAGTCCCTGCTGCCAAGACCCTGGTGGCAAATGACTTTACACATCACTTTGGCTTGGTTCAGATACCAGGGATGAGAAGAGCAAGGTGGGCCATGAGGAGCTGGATGCCAGAGTAATGCAACAAGATGATTTAGAGTGTACAGACTGAGTCACAAATGCTCAGTCAAAGGTTGAGAACGCAGAAAGTTTCAGTGGACAAATAAGAAAGCTTCAACAAGCAAGTATTATTACTCAGTAAAATATTATATACAGTATACCTCCATGCCAAACAGTATAGAAGAGAGGCTATAGATATAAACATGGGTTTAAAATTCCCATGTTTTAGGGCTGAAGTTGTGGCTCAGTGGCAAAGCACTTGCCTCGCACATGTGAGGCACTGGGTTCGATCCTCAGCACCACATAAAAACAAAATAAATATATTATGTGAATGTATAATTAAAAAATATTAAAAAACAAAAATTCCAGGTCACTAGTTGTATGACCTTGGAGAAGCTACTTAATATCTTAGTGTCTATTTCTTTATCTATAAAATGAGTATCTCAATAGGCTTGTTGTAAACTACAGGCAGCAAAGATGCAGTGCTCAGCACATTTCTTTGAGAACAGCTGAAAAGTTTAACAAGGCTTCTTTACATTTTGTTACAAATAAAGAAATGCTTAATCATTTTTATTTCTTATACTGAACAGCAAAGAGCTGCCATTCTCTACAAGGAATATAGGAATTCTCAGTTCACTTAACCTTTCTTTTAAAGACACTTCTGGGGATTTTTGCCTTAACAAACTGCCATTCCCCATTCATGGCCAAGAAATTCAAATTGTATTCACAGACTCTGACCTTCTGATTAAGAATTAGGAGAACAGCCTTGTAGGCTTCTCCCAGACATCACTTGAGCAATGGAAAAGAGAGAGCCCTGGGGTGCTGCAGCACTTCACCATGTTTTCAACCGGCAGTTAGCAAATCAAGGTGTGCTAAAGTCATGAAATCTTAACCTCCTTTTCCTTCACACATTACTAAAACATTTCCTTCATTCTTCCATTCCAAAGAGCCTTCTCACTGCATCCAATTTATTATTTCTAGCAAAACCACTAAAACTCTAATCAGTCTCTACTAATTCCACAGATAAACTCAACTATGTTTTAAATAAGACAAAAATAAAGTAACATGGGGTGGGAGGTAGATGTTAAAATAAAAACAGCCAAGAAACATCATAAGCCGGAGCCACATGGCAGATGTGGAGGGCAGGTGCAGGGCCCGGTTCTCCCTCTGCTCAAAGGCGGCTTACCCCCAGGGGCGGGAGCCCTTGCACAGTGTTCTTCTTCCCCGAGAGCAGATCTGACACCGGCCTCTTCTTCAGAGAGTCCCTCCTGGCTCGGTACCGCCCAGATGTGGTCAGGTCAGACTCGGACATGGAGGGCGTCAGCAGCCCGTCCCTTCGGGGCCGCAGGGCTTCCACGGTTGCGTGGACGTGGCCACCTTCCCTCGCCCTCTGCTCCGCCTCTGCCCCGTGGGGCTTGGGCTCGTGAATATGCAGAGGCCCTGGCAGCGGGGTGCCCGCCGCACAGGGGCAGCCGGGCAGCGGCTCGTGGGCGTAGGCTGCGGGCTGCCGGGGCTCAGGTCGGGGCTCAGGCCGTGCCAGGAGGGCCCGCGCCCCATCTTCCTCCAGCTCCTCCTCCTCCTCGCTGCTGTGTATCAGCATGGTGGCATCCGAGAGAGACTTCTTGTGGCCGTATCTCCCACCTTCCTGCTCTTCGGGCTCGTCGGGCTTAGTCCGCTCAGCGAAGACGCCGGGCTGGGGGCCCGCGGCAAGGGTGCGCGGCGCCACGTCTGCGGCCGAGGCCGACATGGTCCTCTCCTTGAGCCGCAGTCCCTCCAGGCCGTGCGTGAGCCCCGCGATCTCGATGCTGTTCCTCTTCTGCAGCTGGGCATGCCGGGCGGCCGTCAGGGGCTCGCTGACCTCCTGCAGGGAATGGGCCACGGGCAAGCTGTCCTCCTGGAACGTCTGCACCGAGTGGTGGACCCGCCTGGTGATGAGATCCGGGTTGCTACTGCTTATGTAGAGGTGGCGCGACAGGTCTGGGGTGCTGTTGGCCGGCCTTGGGTACGGGTAGGGCGGCGGCGGGCGGTACACCTGGGTTTTCATGATGTTGGGAGCCGGGTAGTCCTGCGCCTGGAGCTGCACGTTGGTCAGCTCGGGCACGCTGACAGCGCCCACCACGGGCCGCCTCTCGGCAGGGTAGGGGTAGGGAGACTGGCTGTGGAAACTGTAGTTCAAATTGAATGGGTAGTGGGCCGACTGGGGAGAGGCGAAGTGCGCGTGCTCCCGAATTTCAGGCTGGCTGTAGACCAGGGCATCCGGCCTGCTGTATGCATAGGAATTGCCGATGTTGAGGTTTCTCAGCGAGTGGCTCTGCCTTTCGGCATGCACCAGGCCTCTGTTGAGCTGCTTCATCACAGTCTCGTAGTCTGGGGTCGGGCGGTAAGACGGGGGTATCAGGGCACTGTGCCGATGAGTGGGGATGTAGTCGGGTCTCATGACATCACTTCCACTAATACTCGGGTTGGAGGACATAGGAGAGGGCTGCAAGTACGCTTGAGGGTTATTTAAGGAACTGGTGCTGTGTGCGCTGTAGACACTACCATTACGGATTCGACCATTGAGGTCAATTTGGGCTCTATCCAAACTTGTCTGGGAGTGACAATAATATCCATTCTGGTTGGGCACAAAGAGGTTATCTGGAAAAAAAAAAAAGAGTTTAAAATGTACTTTAAGGATTTTCTTAAATTTATTAAACTGATTTCACCAGCCAAATATTGAGAGTGTCCCTCAATTTGGATTTTCAGTGCAGCCTATAAAAATCTTTGATAAAATAATATGGGGCAACCAGGCATGGTGGTATACACCTGTAATCCCAGCTACTCAGAAGACTGAGACAGGAGGATTGCAAACTTGAGGCCAACTGAGCAATTTAGCCCACCTCAAAAAAATAAAAAGGGACTGGGAATGTAGCTTAATGGTAGAGTGCCCCGGGTTCAATCCCCAGTACAGCAAAATAAACAAATATATAAATAAATGTAATGACCTGGGGCTTCTCTTGTACTATGAGTGGCCCTGGGAGCTTTGGCTTCCTCATCTATAAGATTGGGGTGGCTCTACCTACTTAAAGGTTCAAAATATGAAACCCAATAAAGATTAGCCTAATCTAAGTCCAATGTTACGAGTATAATTATGGTTGGGGTTGTAGCTCACTGGTAGAGCACTTTCCTATCACATGTGAGGCACTGGGTTCTATCCTCAGCACCACATAAAAATAAATAAATAAAATAAAGGTATTGTGTCCAACAACAACTAAAATTAATTAATTAATAATTTTTAAAAAGAATATGACCGTATAACAAAACGGTCTTTTTTTCTGAATGTTGAAACCATGTACTTCACTATAGATCCAAAACGCTCTTTCTGGAACTCCATAGAACTCGAGGCACAGATACTTACTGCTCAAGGTTCAGAACCACTAATTCTGCCGTCTCCACAGTAAGGGATGTGGCCATGCTAGTTCAAGCACCAACTGTCTGTAAATATTTCCTTAACTGGAATTTCAGATTGCCTGCATAAGTTCTTTCAGAATGAAGATAAAATTTCCACCATAAAAGGACAATAGTGTAGCAGGATATCCTTTCTCTAGTCCAACAGTGTCACCAGCGGCTGCACACCCCACTAGAGTCCAGAAGCCACGAAGAACCATACTAAGACAGCTGCACCTGCCCCATCTTGGTCCCCACCTTTCAGTAAGACGTGGATCCAGGGATCACAGAATCAGGAGACTCATCTCACAATGCTATGTGTATGTGTCCCAAGCTGAAAGAGGCCATGTTCTTTGCAGCCAATCTGTAGCTCACCTGAATCACTTTACTAACTGCATTTCAGTTTCCTTTGGAAAGCATTCTTTGTGTACTCCAACAGCTCCAATTGATTATCCAAGTGACTCACCAGTCTGGTAGGTGCACTTTATTCTGGTGGCACACCTAACCCCAAAGAAACAGCACACTAATTCCCACTTTATTCTTCCTGCTGTCACTGTGAAAACTTCCTCACTGCTATGCTTTCCCTATCCCTAGAACACTCAGCCATTAAGTCTCTGGGTCCCTCTTTTCTCAGTCTCCACCTTGTCTCCACAGTATACCTGCCCAGCAGGTTTCCCTGCTTCTAGGTTCCTCTTAAATCATCAAATCATTTGTGAGCCTGTAACAGACTATACTCAGAGCAGAAGGGGGAAAAAGATGACTGGAATTTAGGACAGTCAGAGGTGAAGGTGGGCATAATAATCCCTGTAATTAAAGTAAGGAAAGATAAAAGTGGCAAGAGTCTGGAGGAGGGAAGAATCACTTCCAGCTTGAGCTAAGTGATGGAGACATGGAAGAGATATTCAAAAACAACTCTGCAGAAGATACTGCAATCAAAGGGTCTTGTGGGAGGGGCAGGCATGTCCCATTTCCATCCAGAGCTTGGTCTCCAACTCTGAGAACACACACGATTATGCCTCCTCCTACTTGATGCCAGGCACAGCCCTGTGACTAGTAACAGTCAAGGGAAAGTGGAGAGTTAAGAGCCAGCTTCTACAGTCTCTTCCCCTGCTAAATGAGCCACAGCATTCCAGATGGAAGAGCTCCCCCAGCCCACCACTCCCCTAAGTCAGGCTGAAGTGAGCAGAGTCCTGCCAGGGCACAATGGACAGGTAATGTGAGCAAGAAGTAAAGCCAGAGAGTTTAGAATGGTCTGTTAACACAGAATAAACTATACTATTCTGGTTGGATGGCAGGCTGTGGACAGAAGGGTACAGTAGAATGGGCATTCTGGGTGACAACAGAGAAGCATGATTGAAGTTGAGGACCACTCCTAGAAGGGCATGCTAGAGAAGAGCAAACTAACAGTGGGAAACCAGATTGGAAAAGCAGGCTAAGGGAATATTGTGGAGAGCATGGAACACTAGGCAAAGGAATATTCTTGCATATCAGGGAGATGAGCTGGCAGCTGTGTGTTAGATGAACCAGGGAGAGTGGAAATTGAAGATACCAGTTCACATGATACATTAGTTACCTAATGAGAGGTAAGATAACAAAAAAGCCTGCATCAGCTCAGGAACAGGAAGACAAGGAGAAGGGGATGGGAAGACACATGAAGTTCAGGCAATAGGATTTGTAACTGACTAGATGTGGAGTACCAAAAACAAAAAAGAAAACAAAAATTTCCTGCAGCTCAGAATCCATAACCAGGAGAATGACTTCATCACAAAAAAATGAAGTAAAGGAACACAGGAAAGGAAGCCGCTTACAGAGTAGAATGACAATCCAAATTTAATGTTTTAATTTTCAGCAAGTCACAGGAGCTAATACCATTCATGGAGTGCTCCACCTAAGCCAACCTCTTCACATGCAGCAACCCCTGTAGCTGCCACAGCAACCTGTCAGACAGCAGGAAGTGTGGGGCTGCAGCACGGGAGTGCTGATGGGGTGGGAAATGAAGATCTGACAGTCGCCCCTGCAGGGGTTTGAAATGTGGGTGACACTGTTGTGGACATTCCCAAAGGGAGGGAAGAAGGCGCAGACAGGCTTTTGGGGAACAACAATCCATACTGACAGAAAGGAGGAGGGCAGCTCAATGGGAAAAGTGATGCTTGACTCTGATGGTGTGGAGGACCTGGGGATGATGGGGCCCTTGGAGAGGCAGCTTCAATACAGCAGCAAAGGCAGAAGGAAAGGTTACCCAACAAGCAGATGCAGCACATGGCAATCACTCAGAAGGACAGGGTGAAAAAGGAAAGAAAAAATAACCTAAAACCATCGTCTGAAGAGAGAATAAAGAAAAAAATAACCTAAAACCATCGTCTGGAGAGAGAGAAGAGAAAAAAAAAAAAAGAAAATCAGGGCATTCGCAGACCAAGGTTGTGGAGGAGACTGACAACACAGAGAAGAGTCTTGGTGGGAGGGGCTTGCACATAAGAACAGACAGGCAGGTGCAAGGAGAACAGTGAAGAAATACAAAACCACCCAGAGGTGGACACCCAGGATCCATACCCAAGCACGTCTCCCCAACTGCCTGCCTCACTGCATGGAAATGCTCATCTTATATGTAAGTGGCACAAAGAATACGGTCACAATCTGCCTTCGTCCCTTCACACTTCATTCCCTCCTGGCTCCTGATGGGATAGGGCAACTGGACAACTCTACTTGCCAAACAAACACCCCTTTGTCATTCTGTGCCAAGGCATTCACTATGCACCAAAACCAGAGTTGCAGTCAGTCAAGGACCTGCCTCCCTTACTGTTGAAATGCAGCCATCTCTTGAGAACCAGAAAGCTGTTCTCAATGCCCCCAAAACAATGAGTCTGTCTTCCATCAAAAGGCACAGTTAACTGTATGCTCTCTCACAGCACAGCGATGAAATTTTCTTTATATTCAAGTTGTAACTACATTTGTCTCATTCCCTACAATTAGATTCTAAGAGAGATACTCATCTGCACCAACTCCCTTGGCTTTTAGTACAGACTTATACACAGAGTATGGAATAAACATTGAATAAGTACTCAAGATTCAGTGTTGGGGCACTGTTGTAAATATAGCTTCCGGACCGGGGTTAAGGCTCAGTGGTAGAGCGCTTGACTAACACGTGCGAGACCCTGGGCTCGATCCTCGGCACCACATAAAAACAAATAAAATAAAGGTATTGTGTCTAACTACAACTAACAAGTAAATATTAAAAAATAAATATAGCTTCCTATAGTTCCCACATGAAAACTGCCGTAATGAAGTGTTTAAACCTTTATGGTGGGAAGGTCTCAGACAGGGAGGAAACAAAGTAAGCCTGGGACAGCTTTTACCAGAAAGTGAGAGAGCAATGGGGGAGTGTTAAAGGACATTGGAACCAGCTTAAAGAAGTTCCCATTGATCAAATTTGGAACCATCTGAGCATAAAATTTGATATTGCATATTTTCAACATACGTTCAAGAACTTGAATATAATGGCTTGTTCTATAAATACAAGCTATATTAATAACAATTTGGGGTGTTACTTCAGCCAAAAACTATCCAGGTTTCAAGACCTCCAAGTCTTCATAGATATTTTCATTGTAATAACAATGTGAGGCTTTGCAGAGTTTGTGTACTTTACCTTGGGAAGAAGCATATGGCTCTGTATAATGTCCATTATAATGCAGCTGGGGCGGGGGAGGCATCACATAGGGCTGGGGTTTAGGCTGAGAAATGAAAAGTTGGACACAGGGTTAAAACACATTGCCTATGCAATAAAGATAACATAATTCTCTGCTGAATTCTTCCCCTCCATTAAAAAAAAAAACTGCATAAGGGGTTAAATATATAACATATGGAAAATAAACATGAAGACACAGGTCTTACTGTACCTATTATTTCCATGTTCCCCACATGGCAATGCCAAACCTTTTGCACTGATACCAAGGACATTAGATAGCACAAGAGAATTTGCATCCAAAAAGTTAAAGATGGGCCAAATGTGGTTGCACATGCCTGTAATCTTACTCAGCAACTTAGGAGACTGAGGTAGAGGACCACAAGTTGAAGGCCAGCTTCAGCAATTTAGTGAGACCCTCAGCAACTTGGCAAGACCCGTCTCAAAATTAAAAGGACTAGAAAATAGTCCAGTGGTAAAGCATTCATTTCAATCCCCACTACCAAAAAAACCAAAAAAGTAAAAGATGTAAGAAATTAATTCCTTTGAATAAACAGATGAATACAGGATGCTTATTATATAGTATAGTCAATCTTATTAGACAAAATCCTCAGGTAATTTAAATATCTTCCAACTTACAATTATTCTTGACTAACAGTTAAAATTTATAATATTTGATTGGACCTAATATTTAAATATGTTTAATATAATAAATTTTATGTTGAGTCTATAGAAAAATCATCATTTGAATAAAAATGATCAAATATAATCATACTTTTATGGGTCAAACTCAAAATTAACACTAACAAAAGCATATTTTATTAAGGAAAATGACACCACTAAAAGGAAAAAACAATTATATTTTCCTCCTTACCAGAGACAACCTTGAAGATGACCTCCTCCTGATTGGGTTCACTGTGATAGTCTGAGTTTGCCTATAAAAACAGATGATTTTAAGAAGAGTGCAAACACTTCCTAAATTCTAACAAAATAAACTAAGAAAGGTAAAATAAAAAATATTCTGAGCCAAAAAGACAAACTAGACCAATCATAGATTGGTTAGAGAGAAGAAAAAAACTCTCATTTTGGGGGGGTCTCTGCCCTTTCCTGCTGCCTAAAGCCCTCTGACCATGTTCTGAGGCGTCACCACCTGGGCCTCCTTCACTAGCAAACTCATCCCATGGGAAGTAGGATTCAGCACCGGTATCTCCCGTGGGCTGGGTTTGCACTAGTGCCTCCACTGACAGTCCTGGTAGGGGTGACCATCAACTTTCAGCCCAGAAGCCCAAAGCAATGGAAATTACCTTAATTAATTCTGTTTACCACATACTCCAAACATTAAGGAAAAGATAAGTTTGTAATTTTAGTGACTTAAAAATTTATATTTCTTCTAAGGAAATAAATTAGGGAAAGCAAAGTTCAGTGGGTGTGTGCTAAGCCCATTTACCTTTCTTTGCAAGAAACTGTTCTAATTTTTCTCTCTTTTTTTTTTTTGTACTTGGGATTGAACCCAAAGGCACTATACCACTGATCAACATCCCAGCCCTTTTTATTTTTTCGGTCAGGGGTCGGGGTCAGAGTCTAAGTTGCTAAGGCTGACCTCAAACTTGCAATTCTCCTAACTCAGTCTCCAAAGTAGTTGGGATTACAGGAATGCATCGTTGCACCCAGTGAATTGATTTTAAATAGATACATTTTTTTAATGTAACTGAGTGTATTAAGGAATTCTGCCTGATAATTTGAGATTTTAAACTATTCACACAGATCCAATTTTTGAATAAACAATTAGATAAAAAAGGAACAAGAAATAGAAAAGCTAATTTCTAACTATTGTTTTTAAACCGAAGCAGATTTTTATTTTTCCTGTGTGTGTTCAGTTTTATTGCAAATAAGATCTAGGAACCTAAATACACTGGATTCTTGGCTTTGTTGATAACTTAAGCAACTGTGCCAAGGAACTTTTCTTAAAAACTTTACCATCTGTTCCTGGCTCATGGGCTTATGTGACATACAATTACTGACTACAAAAATATTTTGTGACCTTAAGTTAATGCTCTAAGGACTAATTACTAGAAAAGCCATCATAACAAAATGAAAATTCAACCCATTTTAATCAGAGAATTTATCATAATGTTAAGCCTCTTGTCTTCTAAATTAACATTATTCTGATCATTCTAATAATTAGTATCCATTGAAACCCTGAATATTAAGCTTATTTTGACAAAACTTTTGAGACAAAAGAAAACTAGTGGATAGTAGGAATTAATATCAGATGACTTTAACTGCTTTTACAGGTTGACTTCTGTAATTTCCTTTTTGAATCACTGGAAAGTATTCAGGTTGTTGATGGAAAACAGATGTCTTTTTCCAAAGCCTGCTCCATCCTTCTAGTACTCTCCTTAGTGAGGCAGGTCTGCACAGGGCCTCTGGGCTATTTTTAGAATACTCTTTAATTGCATTTCTAAAACACTGCATTTTGTCACTTTGAAATTTACTTTGCCTCTTGTTATCCTTATGACCAAGGCTAGGTTTGGGCAGGTTGGGTCCTATGAACTTCATATTCAGTCTATCCAGGACTCGATGTCTGAATGGACTGAACTCTTAAAATGATATAAATTCAAAAATGGGGAGAAAGGGTTGCTGGTAGGATCCACTAGCGACAAACAGCAACAACATGACATAGTTGTCCAGCCTGGGACAAAAATAAAACTTGTGTTAAACATTAAAAAAAAAAAAAAAAATCCAAGGATACAGAGCTTAGGAGCAACTCCACCCATCCTAGCTATTTTGGCATCTTGCTGGCAGCACCCAGGGTGGAGGCGAACACTGTCCTCACCACTGCAGCAGACAGTTCTGCTAAACACAAAAGAGTCTAGTACAGCTTTTTACCTGCCAAATTGTTTGAGCCAGGCGCCTCACCATCAGTTCTAATAGTTTAACCTCTTTCTCCTTGGCACAGTTCTTCCATGTACAGTTCACTCTGAGAACAGCCATCCTCAACTTAGCACATAAAACAAAAATGCTGTAACTGCTGGAGTGCTTTCCAAATTTGGGGGGATGGTTTCTATACTCATGGGTGCACTAAAAACAAGGCAGCTAAAAAAAATTCTTAGAAGAAATCACTGGAATGTACACACAAGAGAAGACAATTTAAAATGGCTGCCAGGCCAGGTGTGGTAGTGCATGCTTGCAATCCCAGTGACTTGGGAGATGAGGCAGAAGGATCACAGTTTGAGGCCAGGTGGGGCAATGTAGTGAGACCCTCTCTCAAAATAAAAACTAAAAAGGGCTAGGGATGTAGCTTAGTGGTAGAGCATCTCTCTGGATTTGATTCCCCACACAGGCAATATGGGGCAGGGTGAGAAGGGAGGGCAGAGACAAGGCTGCCCATCAAAGTAAAATAAATGATAATGCTAATCGAAACTGTGCTAAGAATGTACGTGATTATCTCATGGCATCTGAACACCAATGCCATCAGGGAGCCCCAGTTATTATCCTGATTTTACATATGGGAAACTGATACTTGATTAAGTAAGCCACTCCTGGTCACATGGCATACAAGTGGCAGAACCAGAATTCAAACAGGCCAGTGTGTCATTTTTTTCAGATAGCCTCTAATAATTTTTTTGTCTTATCCCTTCCCCAACTTCAACTAATTTAGGAAGAGGACATACCATGGTACCACTGGTGCCCAGCACACTGCCTGGCACACAAGGAAACCCTCAAATGTGTACTGAACAAATTAATGACCCAGTGAATGGGAACTGAAGTTGATGTTCATTACCGAGCACTTACAGTTAAGCTCATGTTTCTAAGCGCTGTCTGACTCCACTTTGTGAGCTTCTCTCATTCATTCATTTGTTTATAACTAGCAAAGAGGAGAGATTTTGATGTACAAAAACAGTGTTGGATGGTAGAAGTATCTAAAGAACATTTACCTCAATGACTTTCTTCCTGAACTTTCTATAATAAGGGTAAGGAAGAACAAAAGCTCTTCTCCCTCCCTATTCCAGGGCAGGTTAGAGCTGCATGTCCAAAGTGCTTCAAGAGCACTGGGTTAGCCAGGAACCCTCCTGTAATCCCAGTGGCTCTGGAGGTTGAGGCAGGAGGATTGCAAGTGTGAAGCCAGCCTCAGCAACTTAGCAAGGCCCTAAGCAACTTAGTGAGACCCTGTCTCAAAATAATAAATAAAAAGGGCTGGAGATATGGCTCAGTGGTTAAGCATCCCTGGTTTAATCCCTGGCACCAAAAAAAAAAAAAAAAAAGTGTGGGGGCCCAACCAACTGGTCTGGCTCCGAGATGCCCCACTTGCTACATCTCCAGGTGCAGCTCCCTGACACTGCAGGCAGAGAAAGGGGCAAGGATGGCAAAGATTATCTCAAGTAACTGGAGTACCGCTGGCAGGAGGGACCAGCCTCATCCTAACCCCCATGACACATGTGTTTTTCCAGTGACCTTCATCTACACAGGGACCTGCTCAGAAAGGGAAATTGCCTCTGACTCTACCTGAGGTGCCAGTCCCCATGCTTTGCTGAGGAGGGATAAGAGAAATCCCACCATCTGCTGCTCCTAACCCCCACTACCATCCCACAGCCACTGGGTCCTTACCGTACCTCTGAGGGTCAAGGACTAGCAGGGGAGAGGGGTGCTCCATCTTCTTCCAGAATTCCTAGTCTCTTCAAGCCTACAGTCAGCCTTGAAGATGACAGGGCAGCCCCTCTTCCCTTCCAGGCAGGGCCTATGCCAGCCTGTCACCTGATACAAAAATCTCCAGAACAGAGGTGGACACTGGCAGTTATATTCACCATAACCAGCCCTAAATTACAGGGAACATTCACCAACTCTCTCAGCAGCATGCTGGTCGCGACATGCTGGAATCCAAGTTTCTATAGAGAAAAATCTCTTAAAGAGGCCATCTGTGGCTTGGTTTTTACAGGCTGGAAAATACAGCCACTGAGAGAAAAGAGGAACAGTCCCTACATTAAGAATCCTCCTAACTGGGCGTGGTGGCACATTACTGTAATCCCAGCAGTTTGGAGGCTGAGGCAGGAGGATTGCAAGTTCAAAGCCAGTCTCAGCAATGGCGATGTGCTAAGCAACTCAGTGAGATCCTGTCTCTAAATCAAATACAAATTAGCTCAGTGGTCAAATGCCCTTGAGTTCAATCCCTGGTACCTTTAAAAAAAAAAAAAAAGAGTCCTCCTATCCTTCTATTTCCCAGTCTTTTTCTATATAGATTATAGGATGACCACTTCTGAGGCTTAGGGTGAAATAGAGAGGTTTTTTTTTTTTCCCCTACCTAATTGATTAACATCATTATCTCATTTAATTCCTAATCCAACCCTAAAAGAATGCTAAGTCAAGGCCCATTGTCCCCATTTTATAAGGGGGGATGTTTATTTAACATTTTTAAGGCTTGAGTGACATAAAGAGATGATTCTGTTATGTAAAGCACCTTGTTTGGGGTTGGGGGTAGAGAGTAATGCTGGACCATACCACTGTATAAATACTCAACTGGGCCAAGGTTTGATGAGTCATCTAAGGCCCTAACACCATTACATCATAACTTAGGGCTCAGGTGAAGAAAGGCTCTAGTGAAGACATCCTTTCTACACATGTAGACACCATCTCTGAGCCACCAGTAGCCCAAGCCTGAACTGAGTCCAGAATCCACTGTCCAGGTCTAGGCTAGCTGCAGTTCTGTTAACTGTCCATTACATCAGAGTTTACCAATTTGATCGTGAGAACAAGTCTACCAATACTTCAGAATCATTATAATATTAAATGTGACTAAATAGTCCTTGTTGAGACTTTTAGTTTTCTTACCCAGGAAAACATCAAAAGCTAATATTAAAAGCTTAATTTATTTTCCACGGGAAACAGTATGCACAATGAAAAATATCCATTTCCCCCAGAATGAATCATAAATACTTGCACAGGAATAGCTCATAGAAATGGGCGTCCATAATCTACTGGCTATATAGAAATTAAAAACAAAATTTGGCCAGGTGACGTGACACAAACCTGTAATCTTGGATCATAATTTCAAGGCCAGCCTAGGGAACTTAGTGACACACTGTCTCAAAATAAAAAAAATAAAAAGGGCTGGGGATATGGCTCAGTGATAGAGCACCCATGGATTCCATCCCTGTACTGCAAATAATAATAATAATGATAATTACTCTAGATTTCCCTTAAACAGATTAATATACACATATATGCAACTAAGGACAACATCAGTGTCATTTTATTCACATTTGTCAATGAACAGCAACATTCCAAAAATATTAGATTTCTAAGACTACACCATTTACCACATTGCTTTTCCCTCTGAATTATTAGGTGATAGTTTGAAAAAAAAAAAAAAAGCTTTTTAAAAAAGGCATTAACTGGGGCTGGGGTTGTGGCTCAGTGGTAGAGTGCTTGCTTATAATGTGTGAGACACTGGGTTCGATTCTCAGCACCACATATAAAATAAATAAAATAAAGGTATTGTGTCCATCTACAACTAAAAAAATAAAAAATTTTTTAAAAAGGCCATCAACTGGGGCTGGAATTGGGCTCAGTGGTAGAGCGCTTGCCTAGCATGTGTGAGACACTGGGTTCAATACTCAGCACCACATCTAAATAAATAAATTAAAGGTCCATTGACAACTAAAAAAATATTTTTTAAAAAAGGTATTAACTGCTACTCAGAAGCTAAAGCAGGAAAATCACAAGTTCAAGGCCAGCTTTGGCATCTTAGTGAGATACTATCTCCAAATAAAAACTAAAAAGGGCTAGGAATGTAGCTCAGTGGTAGCACTCCTGGATCAATCCCCAGTAATAACAAAGGAAAAAAAATTAAAAAAAGGTATTAACTACCAACTACCATGGATGCCTATGATTTATTCAAAATGACTGATTCTCCACTATTTCCCAAATGCAGATTCTGGACTAGTGGCACCCCTGTATCTAACCACCAGAGGGGAGCATTTTCATACAGAAATGCACGCAGGACTCCAAAGCTGCCAGTCAGCAGAAAAGACTGTCCAGACCCACAAAGAAATTGAGGTTCCTCCTCCCTGTCAGTACTTACTAAAACCCCATCCCTGAACCAGTGGTAGGGACTCAAATGCAAACATGGAGGTGGGGAGAACATGGAAGAGAGGAGGCCTAGGACCCATGTTCTAATCACTGGATGGTTCTCCATCCCAATGGATGACCCTGCCAATTCTCTTTGAACTGTCACTCCTGACCAGTTCTTTCACACCATGTGAAACTCAAAGCCCTTCCACAGTCTTTCTTTTTCACAAAATGACCTCTTAAGATTCACCCACTGGGCCAGATGTGGTGGCACATGCCTGTAATCCCAGCGGCAGGGGAGGCTGAGGCAGAAGGATCACAAGTTCAAAGCCAGCCTCAGCAAAAGCAAGGTGCTAAGCAACTCGGTGAGACCTTGTCTCTAAATAAAATACAAAATACAGCTGGGGATGTGGCTCAGTGGTCGAGTGCCCGCGTTCAATCCCCAGTACCAAAAAAAAAAAAAAAAAAGAAGAAGAAGAAGAATCACCCATGGGAATAGGAAAGACGGTAGAATGAATCAGACATAACTTTCCTATGTTCATATATGAGTACAGGACCAGTGTAACTCCACATCATGTACAAACACAAAAATGAGAAGTTATATTCGTGTGTGTAGGATATGTCAAAATACATTCTACTGTCATATATAAAACTAAAAAGAACAAATTTTAAAAAATTAAAAAGACTCACCACTGGCCCCAATTTCTAATAGGCAACAAGAGAAACAGAAAAAGAGTAAAAGGGCTCTTCTCCCTTGGGACTCCCATTATTGTCTCGCTCGGGTTTCCATGGTTCACTAAGCCCTCACCTACCAGGCACAGGACATGATGAATAAGGAGCCCCTATTCTCATGGAGCACCATAGGCAAAAAAGACAAAAATCAAATCTACAAGAAAACGCAGACATGAAATACGCTAGCCGTCTCTCAGAGGCTGAGAACACAGGCTCTAGTCTTGCTACTCCGCATACTAGATTAATAGCAAGGCTAAGACATTTCAAGTCTTCATCAATAAAGAAGCAGCAATAAAAATGTGCCAGACAGGGTGACCATAAGGATTAAAGAAGATACAAGTCCTCCTCATGATGTCTGACCCAGAACAAGCATTTACTGAATTAGTTATGTATTATTTGAATCATTGTTACAAAAGAAAGAAAAAAAAGGAACTTAGTGAGAACTAAGAAAACTAGACATTTGGTAGAGTTCAGAATGCTGCATTTAAAACTAAATCTTAGAGAATAACTATGAATGCGCCAGACACGGGGAGGAAGGGCATTCCAGAAAAGGTCCGGGCTAGGACAGGCCTAAGCACGATTAGAAACCATGGGTTCTGGGAGCCAGAATCAAGGCTGGGCCAGGGAATACAAAACAGAGATGGTGAACCACAGGAGTCGGCACTTAATCCTGTAGCCAGGGAGATGTGGAGAAGAGGAATGTGCTCAGATTTGGCCCTGACCTGTAACTTTAAGAGCCTCCGTGCTACATCTTTTGCTTATCCATCCAGAAGACTGAATGGAAACAAGTGACACAGGCAGGGAGGCCAGATGGGAGGCAGCTACCTAGTCCAGAGGAGAGAGGATAGCTTAAAGAATAGTTGTGGGGCCAGGTGCGGTGGTGTAAGCCTGTAATCCCAGTGACTCCAGAGGCTGAGGCAGGAGGGTTGCAAGTTTGAGACCAGCCTCATCAATTTAGTGAGGCCCTAAGTGACTTAGCAAGACCCTGTCTCAAAACAAAAACAATTTTAAAAGGGCAGGGGATATGGCTTAGTGGTTAAGTGCCTCTGGGTTAAATCCCCAGTACTCCCTAACCCCCCAAAATAGAAAAGCTGTACGATTGAGTGAAACCTTTCAAGTCTCAGTTTAGATGTCAGGGTGCTGGGAAGACTTTCCTAACTTCCTAACTTGGGAGTTCTGGGTTAGGCACCTTTCTCCTAACGGATCCTACAGCATCACAGACATCCCCCAAAACAGCTCTTAACATCCGTCTCTGTAGATTCACTCAACAAATTCATCAAGGCCTACAATGAGCTGGACATGTGCATGGTGTTGGGAATACAGTGGTTAAGACAGGAAGAGTGTCTGTCCCTGTGCATCACTGTGGACCTTATGTGCAATGGGGGATGCAGATAACTAACAAACAAATGAATATGCAAAGTCAGGTGTGTTAGATGTTATGAAAAAGGATAAAACAGGATAAGGATAAAACAGGAGTAAGGGATAAATATAGACAGATAATATTGGAGGAGGGTGACACAGGGTAATCAGAGACAGCCTCTGAAGATGATCACATCTGAATGTGATTGTAATGAGGGGAAGGAGGCAGGAGAAGAGATGGGGAAACAAACATTCCAGGCAGAAAGAAGCAAGTACACCATCCCCAGGGGTGAAAATGCTCACAGCCCAGCAAGGATACTAGTGTGGATAGAACAGAGTGAGCAAGGAGGAGGGTCAGTAAACAAGGTCAGAGCCAGGCAAGGACCACATCGCGTCCAGCATGGTACACATGGTAAGTTAGATGGAATGCCAATGGAGAGGTTTAGGAAGAGTGAGGGGATCCGACACACATTAAACTCAGATCATTCAGGTTGAGTTATGGAAAATAAGCTAGAGGCAGGGGAGGCACAGAAACAGCGAGTCAGAAGCTACTCCAGTGCCCCAGAGGAGAAACAATGGTGGCTGATATAAAGTTGTTAGCAGAGGAGGTGGTACACACGGTCAGATTTCAGATCTGTTTTGAAGGTAGAGCAGCTGGGCTTATTGATGAATGGGATGTGGTATGAAAAGAACTAAGAATCCAGTTTGACTCCTGAGTTTGGAGTCTGAGCAAGTAGCTGTGTTTAGTGTGCTGTCACTTGTCAACATAAGAAACAGGTCTGGGGCAGGAAGCGGACAAGAGATGAAGAGGTCTGGTTTTAAACAGAGCAAACTGATGAGCCTCATGGGTACCCAGAGGGACATGTCAAGTAGGCAGTGGGATGTGGAGAGAAAACGCAGGGAAAAGGCAGGACTCGAGGTAAAATCTGATGCACTGCTGGTAGGTAAGCCTGAGACCAGGTGATAAGGCCTAAAGGAGGAGAGAGGGACAGGAGTCTCAGCACTCACCCAGCAAAGTGGCTGAGAAGAAACGGCCTGGAGGGAGGAAACCCAGGAGCAGTGCTCAGGGCTGCAGGATAGTGGGAGAGAACTTCCGAAATGACCACTGGGTGACGGTCATCTGACCATGACAAGCATGTCACTAGAGTGGTGGCCCAGGGAGACAGGGTGAAAGGAAGGGGAGAACAAATATGCACAACTCTTTAAAAGAAGTCGCTATAAAGAAAAGCAAGGACACCTGCTGAGACTAGAGGGGAGGGTAGAGTGAAGGACACGTGGAACACCACGGCATGTTTGTTCTCTCATGGGAACATCCAGCAGACAGGGAGACCCACATGGGCTACTAAAAACATACACCAGGAAGAAGGGGCATAAATTGTTAAAATGGTTTGAAAAGCTGAGTAATCTTTACCTAAAATGCTGACCAGAGCAGTGATTTTTAAAAAAGGATAATATTCCATTTTTTAGCTTCTGAGAATAGAATGGTTCAAATAACTTGTAGAAAGAAATCTCTGAGGAATAATTAATTAATAGAAGTTGGTCCAAAACCAAACTTAGATATAGGAGATGTCATTTTAATATACAACATAAATAAAGAGCTTTTAAAAAGTGTCAGAAAAAGCTGTGATTTGGTAAAATTTGCCTTTTTAAGCAACACTATAAGGTTCAAAATTAAAATTCCTAAATTTTATTATTTTCTACAATTTCTATGAGCAGAAGATACTCACAAGTTACACTGGTTTAATCTGTAAAATTTGTGTCGAGCGACACACAGTCTCCATACATATTTTGCTGTTTCCATGTCTTCCTGGCAAACAAAATATACATAAAGTAGCATGAAAGCACACATGACTTGATACTTTTAATGCAGAGTTTGTCTGAGGACAAGACACTTTTGGGTGACACTATGTTAAAGTCACTTTCCACACACTCTGGTTCTTTCATTTTCTAACACTATGCCTATCATATGAATGCTAAAGTAGGATTTAAATGACGCGAAGACAAAAAAAAAATATCTTTTGTAACAGTGTAAGTCTGGTATTAAACCGCTTCAAAATGACTTGGAAATTTAAAACTTATAAAAATATCAACTTTCATTCTTGACAAATATATTCAAAGACTTTTTATAAAAATATTTGTTTCAGTGACTAAACATTGCCTTTGTCATGAATGCATAAATAAATAGCTGTTAAATAACAGATCTGAAGAGCCACTCATTTTTGTCCGTGGATTCAGATACTGGTCTTTACTTTCTCACTTGCTTAGTCTCAAAGATCAGGAGGATCAGACAGTACTTACTTATTCAAAAACTCATTTACTCAAAAATATTTACCGAGCAACTACTTTTTGCCAAGTGTCACCTTGTAAAATATTATGTTATAAAACTTTATAATGGCTTATAAAATTATGAAATAGTATAATTTTAATACTACCCTCCCCTCCAAACACACAAAAGCCCACAGAGATGCTAACTTATTAACTTTCAGGAGAAGTGTTCCATGAAGAGTGAAGTGTTCTGTTTACTCACAGTTTGAAACTGGATGGTCTCCTCTTTATTTGCCAGCTCTAATGCAAAAAAGGACTTGTTGTGGGACATGTTAGCAATGTCCTGCCACCTGCAGAACAGAGAAGAGCAATGTGAGTATGTGTATACTAGGAGAAAGAACATATGACCTTTTTCTTAAAGCTTGATGCATAACTTAGTATTTGTTAATCATTTTTGAAAGAAAATAATTATTTTCATCAGCTAGCATGCATTTTCTAATTGAAGTGACAGCAATTATAAAGTAAATACCTGTACACTAAGTGAAGGAAAAGAGTATTTAAAAGATATACGTCAAAAACGTACTTAAGGCCACTGAATTATATGCTTAAGATTACTAAAGTGGTAAATTTCATATTCTGTAAAAATTAACTAAATAAAAAAGGTAGAGTATATTATCCTCATTTGCTAGATTAGCTTGATGATCAATGATCCCTATGTTAGCTAGCTGCCAGTGCCTCAACATTTTAAAGGGTGCCCATTACAAATATTAACTTGCATTGGCTTCTAGAGATACTAAAATTAGATACTAAATTAGTAAGATACACTGCTTCCAAAGAGCTCTTTTAGAAGGTGGGGTGTCAACATATACAACATAAAAGCAAATAAGTCCTGTTAAGAGCTATAGGTAAACAGGATGAAATAAGGCACAAAAGCCGAGAGGACCGCTCTGAAAACCATCAGGTTGACACTGAAGTGCAAAGAACTAAGGAGTGAACTATTCTGGGTATATTCACTAGGACACAAAATTCTATCTTGCACTTTCTAAATTTTATCATACTTAGCTTTTATATATTAGTATTTGATTTTATTAGATAGCTGGGTACTTTTATAAAAGGGATAAATAGCTCTGGAACAAAATGGGTTTGGGGGTGGGGGTTAGGATACTGGGGATTTGACTCAGAGAAACTCAGCCACTGAGCCACATCCCCAGCCCTATTTTGTATTTTATTTACAGACAGGGTCTGAGTTGCTTAGCACCTCACTTTTGCTGAGGCTGGCTTTGAATTCAGGATCCTCCTGCCTCAGCCTCCCGAGCCACTGGGATTACAGGTGTGCACCACCACAACCTGCTGGAATAAAATGTTTTAACCTACTTTATTGACTTCACTATAACAGATTGAATATATGTCCCCTGAGCTACTTGAAATAAGTGTTTCAGACTCTGGAGTTTTTCTGTTTTAAGCTACTTTATAAAAACAAAATTTGCATAGACTGACAGCTGAGAATCCCCAATCTGAAAATTCAAAATATAAAATGTTCCAATATCTGGGAAAAGAATTTTTTTCCCCAGCACTGCAGATGAAACCCACAGCCTGGTCCATGCAAGGCAAGCACCACGGAGCTACATCCCCATCCCCAAAACCTGAAACTTTCTGAAAATCGTGATGTGCTCAAATAGTTTTGGTAGTTGCATTACAGATGATCAAACCTGTACTGGATTTACTTACATAAAATCTATTAAAATTAAAATCAATTTAGTACTGATCCAATGTTTTTTTAAGCCTAAAAATTATTATCATATTAAATAAGATGGTTGAAAACATTCCTATCCAGAGATGAAGACAACCTAGTAGATGCCTCAAGTTTCCATGAGACCCCTTGGGCACCATCAGAGTCCTGCACTTAGGTCCACGTTCCTCTCCCTGTCCCTCAACTCAGCATGCTGGGAAGACTTAATGTAACTGGTTTGAGGAAAAGGTAGAACTGCCAGGGGAGCAGCCCCGTCTAGAGCAGTGCAGCGTAGGAGTGGCTGCACCGAGCCAGGTCTGTTCTCTGCAGAGAACGTAAGGCCCAAAGACAGTACAGCAAAGGAACGGAAGGGAGAGTATCAGCTTAGGGAAACAATTCTAAAAAGGAAAAACTAGTTCAAGACAAAATAAATTTGAATAACTTGTGTTGGCAGGGAATAGTACGGGGTTAAGAGGAATAAAGGGAGATACGAAAAAAGGAGCTGTTTAATCCAGTGGCCAGGCTTAAAGTGGAGAGTATCAGTTCTAGTCTTGGTTAGGCCAGTTAATAACTTGACTTTTCTAAGCTTCAATTATCCCACATGCAAAGTGATAATAATACCTGTTGCTCAGAGTTGTTACAAAGATTAATGTGAATATTCAGCATAGCACCTGGCTCATGATAAACTGCACATGATAAAAGGCAGACACAAAGGAACCAAAATCTGAAGTGGCAGAATCTGTTTCAAGCTACTTTATAAAAATAATATTAACTTAATTTTTCATCAAGATAGACTCTCAGAGTAAAATACTTCTATGAAATAACATTGAGTTTTTTAAAATTACAGATTTTAAAGAGTTATAATGTAGGTATTGAACAACATAACACATTTTACTTTGTTTAAGATATAAATTGGAACACAGAATACCAGGAATTAACCATAATTTCATTCATTACTCAGAAATTGCATACCACAGTTAGGTGTGGTGGCACACACCTATAATCCCAGCTGCTTGGGAGGCTGAGGCAGGAGGATCACAAGTTCAAAGCCAGCCTCAACAACTTATTAAGGCCCTAAGCAACTTAGCAAGATACTGTCTCAAAATAAAAAATAAAAAGGGCTGGGGATGTGGCTTAGTGGTTGAGTGCCCTTGAGTGCCAAAAAAAAAAAAAAAAAATTACACATCACTATTATAGCTACTATAGACATCCATTCTGTCCTTCCTACTACATATAATCCAAGATTTCCACAAATATAACATTTTTATAATCTGGTGGGGGAGGGGGAATCAATATCACAAAAGTAATTGAAATTTGCTGAGATGTTGGTATTTTAGAAATTTTGTTACATAACTAGAGTCAAAAGAAAGGTCTAAATTTTCCATAACAAATAGCCCTAGAAATCAGCTCAAATGAAAAATTCACACCAAAACAAAGAATGGCCCCCATATAGCAAGAAAAGGGTCACATTTTTTAAGCATTTTATAAGTTAAGTGATCTTGGTGCTGGGGTGTTGTTCAGTGGTTGAGATGCCCCCAGCATGTAAGAGGCCTGGGTTCCATCCCCAGCAACATGGGGAGAAAAAAACTAGTTCATCATTATAAACACTTTTTTCTGCACATTTTTAAAAAATATATATATATTTTTTAGTTGTGAATGAACCTTTATTTTTATTTATCTATATGCAGTGTTGGGAATCAAACCCAGGACCTCACACATGCTAGGCAAGCGCTGAGCCACAACCCCAGCCCCTACACATTGGTTTGGAAGAGAGTGGTATATTAATGAACCACTACATTCAGGTGGTATCTCACTCTAGGAAGGGAATATTTCCATTTTCTAATAAGACCATGGGAGAGACTTATAATCTTTTAAACAACTCTAAGTACTAAAAAAAGAAAACCCACCAATGTGAGCCACAGAATACACATTTTCTTATCTTACAGAGATAAGAAAAATACCTAAATATCACAGGAGGCCTTCCGTTCTTGTGTTTCACAAAGATACCTTCAAGACATGCTCCAATGGCTATGTCACTCCCTTGGCTGTCCTAAAAGGAGAGAACAGAGAAAAACTCAGGAATCAGATACGTAAGATTGCAACAACTACACTCAGTTCCCTAAACTTGTTGCCCAGATATAAAATGTTCCAAAAATCTACAAAATAATTCTTCAGAAGGAAAACAATCTAAATAATATAAATATTATATCCTATAAATACATATGAAAACTGAAAGAATTTGTACTCTTTTTTCCCCCCAATATTCAGCATTAAACTAATTATTTATTTCCTTTTTTGGCATCTACAACGTTAGCTGGCAATATAAACAGAAATGGTATAGAAGTGCTAACAGTAGAGATATTATATTTACAAAAGGGTTTGCTATTTCAAAAAGGTGAAGAGAATGAAGAGATGTAGGATGTAATAATTAAGAGAGGATAAGACAGAATGGTAGTAAAGAGTAAAAGGAAGAGTGGAAGAGAGAACAGTAGAATTTGACTATTAGGGAAAGAAAAGAGAAGAAGATAATCAAGGGAATTAGGAGAAAAATAATATGAAACAAAACAAAAACTAAAACCAAGGTATACTAATCAAAAACCCTAGTCCTTAAAAAAGAGTCAAGAAAATAGCTACCTTCAAGAAATGCTAGAAATGAGAAGATTGAGACAAATATATATATGTATAAATGTCCATGGGCTGTTCAGCATACAAAAATTAAAAACCAAAAAGAAAAAAAAAAGGTTCTTGATGGGATATTTCCTGCTTTTTAAAATGCCTGTTAACTTTTGATTGGATGTTGAACATGTTGAATTTTACTGGATTCTGCTGTATTTCTTACAAGAGTGTTGGATTTTGTCCTCAGATCTTCTGAGGCTTGTTGTAAGCCAAGAGCAGTCTTACTATAGGATTAATTACCTACACTATTGAGATATGACTGTTCTTCTCTCTGATGCCTTTTATATTAGATCTTCCATTCTGTGGAATTTTCTACAACTCCCAGAACTTAAGGAATTCTAAGAAGTTCTTTTGGTGATTCTTTTCCAGGCCTAATTGTGTTTTATTCCATGTATGTGCAGACAGAACTCAGCCAAAGCCTCTTGAAGGCCCCTGTAAAAATCTCCAGAGTTCTTTGTGGAGCTCCCTCTTTTCAGAACTCCATCCTGCAAATTTCTGGCACTCTGGCCTCATTTGTATTCTGCTTTATTTCTCTTCAACTCAGCAAGACTCTCAGTTTGAGTATCCCTCTCTGTACTATAGTCCGAAAACTGCCTCCAGACTGGGGAAATTGTAGAGGTAGCTTCATTTGTATCTTTTCTTTCAGAGATCACAGTCTCGTGCTGCTTCAAGTACAAGGTCTGAAAATAATTATTTCATACATTTTGTGAAATTTTCCATATATTTTTGGAGAGAGGCAACTCCTATAGCAGTTGATCTTTCACAAAAGCCTGATTTATTCTTTTTTAATTCCTGCATAGTATTCTTCTACATTTTATTTCATCTTTTTTCAATGATTTACTCTGTCAAGGATCAGCCAAGAGACAGGACAGTAATTTGAAAAGGAAATGTTTAATAAAACACACAGTAATTTGAACAGGGATGTTTAATAAAAAGAAATATGAACTAGGAGTAAGAGATTAACTATGGAAGGGATAGAAAGCAGTACTTATTACAAGAATAGCATAGAGAGAGCAGCCGCTATCTCTAGTGTACAGTACCCATCTAAGAAATAAATCTGGAAGAGTCCCCTCCCTTCTGGAGCTGGGATCTAAAATTTGAGAAGTCATGATGGCCATGACCAATGAAATGGCAGAGAGGTCCAATGAGCTGCTGTAAGCCAAACCTAGCAAGGAGGGAACTACTCTTTTTGAGGTGATGGTGGAATTTTCAGGAGGAAAATTCCTGAGAATTCATTGAGCAACTGGGGATGTGCCAGTAGAATGTACCAGGAAGCTGCCCTGGGGTGAGCTGTGAAACTCACTGGCAAACTGTTTCAGGGATGTGGAAGCTGTTCACAGAGGGCCATGACACTCGTTGGGGATGAGAACCACTAGATGTACCCACAAATGCCACTGTCAGCCACACAGTTGAACCAAGAAGAAAACAAGCATGCTAGATTCTAGGAAGAGAAAGCCCTGTCTCCTTCAGCATCTTCCCTAGGACCCTCTACTGACAAAACTTCAAATCATGTCCACTTATCAAAACAGAATTGCTTAGAGTCCAGCTCCACTATGGCAGAGCAAGAAGAAAATGGTGGATTTGGATCAAAAGGCAATACATTAGTAACTAATATCATATGCATTTCCATTTTTCCAATTTTTTCTATGATTATTAAAAGCAAAATTTCTTAATTGAATTTTTCTTAACATTTTCATTTTTTCCTTAGCAAAGAGGCAACACAATAATAAAGAAAAAACTCTTTTTCTTTTTCTTTTTTTTGGGGGGGGGGGGTGCGGGCGTGTACTAAGGACTGAACTCAGGGGCACTCAACCTCTGAGCCACATCCCCAGCCCTATTTTGTATTTTATTTAAAAACAGGGTCTCACCGAATTGCTTAGCACCTCACCGTTTCTGAGGGTGGCTTTGAACTCGTGATCCTCCTGCCTCAGCCTCCTGAGCTGCAAGGATTACAGGTGTGTGCCACCCTGCCTGGCTTTCTTAAAATTTAAAAAGCTCAAAGTACAAGCTGTAAAATGGGACTGTTTTCTCACAAAATTTTGTTCACAAAGGCCTTAGCTTTTAAACTTTCCAACCTTTGGTACATCAGGGCATCCTCAAGCTTCCTCACTGTTTTCTCATATTGCTAAGCCTAATTTTAGAGAGCCCCAGATGTCATGCCACACTGACCTTGGCAGGGTAGCTCTCTTCTCCATAGCCATCCATTCTCTCTACCTCCTGCATGTACAGCATTTCAGCATCAGGAGCCGTGAGCCCTCTGCAACCCAAAAGATGTTAGTAAGACTGTTCACAAAATGAAAAAAATTTAAATAACACTATTCTTAAAAATTACACATCAATTTGGTATAAAACATTATAAGTATTTCAAGCTTTTAAGCATCTGTAATTGGTTACATAGCTCTTTTTCAATATTTACCAAAAATTGGTGCCTGTAAAGCACTACACTAAACGCTAAGAGTGAGTAAGTTACACAAGATCCTATTCCTTATATTGTAGGAAGGCAAGAAATGAAACAGCCCCTAAAACATTTTCAAGTGAAAGCTATTTTTTTTTCCCTAAACCAACAAGTAAGTGCTTAATTCCCCAAATTGCCAGGCATTACTAAGAATCATATACTAACTGCCAAATGATAAATGGAAGGTAGAAGGGCATGAGGAAGTAGGTGGAAATCTCTTTCCGCTCAGATGATTGGGGCACTACGAGGATGGCAAGCGGTGCGGGAAGGAGGAGGCTCAAATGCATGGAGACTCTCCTCTCCAGGTTCATCTACTGCTCTCCCATACACCCCACATTGCAGCCATTCCAACTCTGCATTTCTTTGAATGCACCACGTTCCGTCACATTTATGGACTTCTATACATGTTAATCCCCCTTTCTGGTATATCTGTCACCCACTTTCTGGTATTATCTGTCACCCACAAGTGAACGTGGCTAACCCCTAATATCTTTCACTCCTCAGTGCATGTATCACTCTCTGTCTGTCACCTTGTGGAACTCCCCAATGCCCACCCTTGCCCTGTGCAGTCCCAATACATTCTGCCCACAACCCTCCCACTGCATCCATTATTTTATTATATGACTATAATTACTGTTTTACTATAATTACCATTACAATGGGTTTTCCTGCCCATCCCTTAAATTATCAGGCTGGGAATGCACTATTGGGAGACAGGAAATTATTCTATTTATCTTTCAGCCACAACATCCAATACTGTGCATCATACAGGGTAAGAATACTAATGAGCTCCTAAACACTGTCTTTTAAGGAAATGCACAAGTGAGTGAATTAAAGTGACAAAAGGCAGGGCAACGTGTGCCTGAGGGATCAATTATGCAAGGAAAGAAATGGTTTGAACAGCAGAAGGTAGAGTTGAAAAAGTGCAGGATTTAGCCAACTTATGAGAGCAAGGAAGTACCATGAGCACATGGGAGGGGGTGCGGAGAGATAGGAGGGCAGTGTTATTATAGGAAGACTAATCTTTTGTGAGAGATTGAAGTAGAGAGAGTAGAGGTAAAATGTTATTTTATTTGGAAAGAAATAAACAATGTTATAATCAGAACTCTACCATATGTAGAGTCCTAACTCATTTTTGAGACAAATAGTAAATAGTAAAGAATTTATTGAATATAAAGTACCAGGAAGTATGTGGTATATGCCTTAAAATAAGAGCCAGCATTCTCTAGAAGAGGGTTTTCCGTATAGGCAACATAGAGATTCACCATCCAAGAATTCAGAATCCACTAGCACAGAGGTACAAAGAGTCAGTCAGAGTATAAGCCCCAGGGCACTCATGGGGGCTCCCCAGAGGACAAAAATACTGCAGGAGAAAGTCTGCAGGAGAAAACTTGAAATACTACTCCCAAAATACTACTACCAAGGCAAATAACTTCATACTTCTTGAATGGAAAAGCAAACAAATCCCCCTAATCTTGCACTAACATATACAGGCTTAGGTTACCAACCTTTTTTAATGTATGGGATGACAAATTGGCTTCCTTCAAATGACTGGCTGCTTTCATCTACCTCAGTTTCCTCAATGGTTTAAAACATGAATAATAAATAATAAATTCAAATGGGTAAGCATACTTGGCACATACAGTGTTATGTAAAAGTTGGTTACTTATAATAGCACCAATAGCAGGAAAAGTTTCAAATTGAATGTATCAAAGCAAATTTTTAAATTTAAACAGGCATTAATTCCATACAATTTCCTGTCTTATTTATTAGTTTTACCTGTATTTTTGATGTAGTAAGGCCACTTTTTGGGTTGCTTCTTCCAATACTTTTTCATCTTGTAACCATCCCTGAAGAAAACACACAGCTGTTAAATATGTAAATTTCTTCGGAAAAATCATTGCTACTTATCATTGGCTATTTCACTTCAGGCAAACTGTGACTAGTATTAATATTTGAGAGCTGTGCTATGTATACAATCACAATCTTTCTAAGGAATTAAATGGCTTCTGCTCAAGAGCCAAAAAACTTGCCCTGCCTTCTCAGTTCAGACCAGAGAAAGTTTTAGCTGAATTATTTCAGCAAGGTAACATCAGGCAGCCAGTTCTGAGTCTAGTGCAAAAACTTCTTGTACATTCTGTGGTTGGCTGTGCAGAAACTCAGAAGAAGGACACACCACCTCCCTTAACTGTTCCAATAATAGTTTTCATGTCACTTCCATTAGAAGTGACATTTCAACATTAACTTTATAAGGTTTCAAGTCTTCAGTGAGAAGCAAAACTTCTGCATGGTTCTCAGAAACTGAAAACAAAACTCCTTAGACTCACATCCAAATACAAAACACATGTTTCTGGGCACAATGCACTGACTACAGCCCTTTCCGTTTCTGTGAGTTTACAAGGACCAAGAAGACTCCAATATGAAAAGGAATGACAACTTGAAAGATGCTGATTTTTGATGCTATTCCTGCCTCATAAGTCTACCTAATGGACTTAATTTCAGGGATTATTAAGGGTATAGAATAAACTGTTTATATAAAGGCCCAGGGACAAAAGAAGTCTTACCACAGGAAACAAGGCAAATTTTTGAAGAAAGTCCTGGGATTCATACTGATCAAAATCACCAAAATCAGCTATAAAAAATGACAAAAAATTCACGTTGATAAACTTAATTTGTACAGCAAAACATACACAAGAAAATACAACATGCAGTATACAAATAAATGGTGTAATTATGATTCAGAAGTCATATTTGTCTGATAGGTATAATAAGACTGTGTTTTTACAGTATCTTTTTAAAATATTCATTAGATGGATTCATGTGTCTCGACTTGGAAAATGCCTGTGCATTAAGGAAAAAAGTTAGAAACTACATATAATATGCTCTGATTTTCATAACTAAAAACCAAACAAAACCTTCCCTGTAATGGCATATGCTTTCCTCTGCACAGAAAAGTGTCAGGAAGAAACCAAACTGGAGAATGGAATTAGATCACCTAATCATCTATCTGTTATAGCAACATGTATTTGTTTTAAAATTTTAAATCATTAAAAAAACAGAGAGCCAGGGCCAGAGTTGTGGCTCAGTAGAAAAGTGCTTACCTCGCACATGTGAGACACTGAGTTTGATCCTCAGCACCACATAAAAATAAACAAAATAAAAATATTGCGTCCATCTATAACTAAAAAATAAAAAATAAATAAATAAATAACGGAGAGCCAGGCACAGTGGCACACCCCCTATAACTCCAGCAGCTCAGGAGGTTAAGGCAGGAAGATGGTGAATTCAAAGCCAGCCTCAGCAACTCAGCAAGGCCCTAAGCAACTCAACAAGACTCTGTCTCTAAATAAAATATAAAAAAAGAGCTGGAGGTATGGCTCAGTGGTAAAGCATGGTTGGGTTTCAATCCCTGGTACACGTCCCCGCGCACGCAAAAAAAAACCTGAGAGTTCAGCAAAAACTTTATGAAAAAGTAATTTATTTTTATTTTTATTTTTTGTGGTGCTGAGGATAAAAACCAAGGCCTCATGCATGCTAGGCAAGCTCTTCTAACAGTTACATCCGCAGCCCAAATATAATTTTAATTTTTTAAGTATAAGGGATTGAACCCAGGGACACTTAGCCTCTGAGACACATTCCCAGTGTTTAGTTTTGTTTTTTTTTTGTTTTGTTTTGTTTTGTTATGTATATAATCACATATATCACATTGGGTTTTTTTGGTGGGGGTGGGGCAGAGTTGTCTTTAATTTTGACACAGGGTCTCACTAAGTTGCTTAGAGACTCAATAAGTTGCTGAGACTGGCTTTGAACTTGCGATCCCCCTGCCTCAGCCTGTCAAGCTGCTGGGATTACAGGAATGCACCCCTGCACCGGGCTTCCAAAAGTAATTCTTAAAGTCAAGATGATACTTAAAATTCAAAGTAGTTTGAAAAGGAACATGGCTCTAGGTGTATCTAGCAAGTGTCTATCTAAAGATGACAAGTCTCCATGTCTAGTAATATCTGGAGAAATTTTACTGATGCTTTTAATTTTCAGTTCTCCAAGGTAAAATGCCAGTTATCATTTGAAATAACACCCTTTCAGAAATACTGCCATAGTATATACATACATGTAAATGCACATATATTAAACATGTGGAAAATGAAAAAATTAAAAAATGCTTGTGAAAATCATTTCTATTGTGGCTGATGATGCTCCATAATTTTGTCAATTACTTAAGAAACCAAACAATTGAATATACTTAAAGTAGAAGTGACTATAATCTCATCCACCCATTGCATGATAGATTTACTTCCTAAACTGCTAGCTAGTAGCCAATCAAGTGCTAGAGCTAGATTGATACATAGCATATTAAATGCTCTGGACATATATATGTGTCTCAATTTATTAAACTTTTTGCTTTCTTGACATATAACTTGGTTAACTTTCCAGAAGTCTCATATTTTATTGAAGTAATTCAAATTAATTTCTTTCTATAAAGAGGCCCTTAGAGGATAGCATTTATAGTTAACATACAAACACTATAAAAGACGTATACATTCAAATGTATGATGTCACTATAAAAGATGTATACATTCAAATGTATGATATGTCAAGATCATTGTACTGTCATGTGTAACTAATAAAAATAAAATAAGACGTATACAGAAAGTCAAGTTACTTTAAGAATCCCTTGCTATTTTGTTATAACACATTTTAATCTGATTGAACTACCACATTATTATTAGTTTAATCATTTCATATGCATTATTTACCTTGAACGGCTAAACCTGCTAGCTGAATCGCTTGTTCCAACGTACAAGGAATGTTTCCCTCCAAGATATCTTTCTTCAGCTGCAAGTAATACTGATACCTATGAAAATGTCAGTTTTATAAAGTGAATATCAATTTCTCTCCAATCAATGCTTTTTACCATAACTTGGTAGAGGAGCATAAATCAGTCAAATAAAACCTTAACCCCAGATGATTTTAAAGAATAACAATGTCCTTGACCATATTTACATTCATATAAAATCTAATTTAATGAGTTATTTATCCCTAACTATAGTTATTTCAAAGCTAAAGTATTTATAAGACAACAGGTCATTTTCTTATGGCTTGTAAGATAGTCCCTACAATTTGTTCTTTCATTGTTGTTGTTTTTGTAGATGGACACAATACCTTTATTTTATTTATTTATTTTTTATGTGGCGCTCTTGGAATGAACCCAGTGTCTCACACTTGCAAGGCAAGCACACCATCACTGACCCACAACCCCTACAATTTATTAATCAATTGCAGGTCTTTTTTTGGTACCAGGGATTGAACCCAGGGGTACTTAACCACTAAGCCGTATCCCCAGGGTCTGGCTAAGCTGCTTAGGACCTTGCTAAAATGCTGAGACTGGTTGTGAACTTGAGATCCTCTTGCCTTGGCCTCCCAAGCCACTGGAATTATAGATGTGTACCACCACGCCCAGCAAAATGGCAGGTCTTTAAAAACTCACAGTAACTCAAAAATATAAGGATTCAGTCAGTTTGGCAGAAGTTCCCCAAGCCTAGAAAGTAAAGACTGAGAAAACTAACTTCTGATATTAATTTTTTTATGAAATCCCAGAATATCTACTGAAATACTTTAATATTCTGTAATGTGTGACTTTTAAGATATAGAGCACCAGTTACCAGCACAAGCTTTAGAGTCAGGCAGACCTAGGTTAAATTCCAGCTCTCTAATTAAGGATTCTGCAAGAATTTGGGCAGGTCATAATCTGTAGATTTAAAATTTTATTTACTTATGTATTTTGGTACTGGGGCTTGAACCCAGGGGTGCTCTAACACTTAGTTACATTCCCAGCCCTTTTTATTTTTTGAGATAGTGTCTCACAAAGTTGCTGAAGCTGCCCTCAAATTTTCAATTCTCCTGCCTCAGTCTCCTGAGTCACTGGAATTACAGGCATGTGCCACGATGCCTGGCTTTTAGATTTAAATTTTATTACTGGTAAAATGGTACCCTTGCCCCTTCACTGGATGACTATATTCAAATAATATATATAAAGGTCTGAACACAAGAAAAGGAACATAGCTGAGACTCCAAGAGTCTCACTTTAAGTTGTGCACTTTAAGTCTCTACCACTTCTCCATTCTAATAAAACTCTAAAGATGTATTACTTTTATTTGTTCACTGAACAGGTAATTACTAGGCCTACTATGTGTTCAAGACACCAGAGACACAATGTGGAGTGACGATCCACTAACTTTACCAGTACAGTCCTTAGAGCACCCTAATCCAGAATCTTCCCAGGTTGGCTGGCTGAGAAGCACAGTCGAGGTGCAATTCCTGCTGGAAGTCCCCAGACAGCCCACCCCTTTAATTGCTTCATGTGCAGTCTTATATCATCTTTTTTTATTTTAGCAAGGTTTAAAGTTTCTGTTCTTTGTTCTTTTTTTTTTATAAGAGTTTCTAATGTTTTTTTTTTTTTTCTTTAATACCTTTATTCCATTCATTTATTTTTATGTGGTGCTGAGGATTGAACCCAGGGCCCTGCGCATGCTAGGCAAGTGCTCTACCGCTGAGCCCCAGTCCCTGAAGTTTCTGTTCTTTGTTACAAAAGAACTTAACCAAAACACCTTCAATTCAAATAGGAAGACTTTAGATCCAACTTTCCCACTTCTACCTGCTAGTGGCAGAACTCACCGATTTCCCTCAGTCAGCAAATATAATATAGGTAGCTCTGGGATCCTTTCAAAGAGGAAAACTTGAACCTTTGTATAAAACAGCTGATTTCAAAAGCCCATGAGTGAGACTGTATTTAGGAAAGTCTATCTATTGGACATATTGTCTACAGATTCCACTTTAAAATTCTAGGATTTAGTCTTCTACAGAAATTTTCTTAACCTTAATGTTATACATAAATTGCTATTTATAAGAACTGATTCTTCACATATGCTCTAAATTGTTCATTGCTGTTCAATGCCTTTTACATAAACTCTCCCTTGAAAATTTAGATGATATACCAGGAAAAACTGTCACTCTTGCAAACAAGTATGCTCCGAACTATGAGCCAAAATAAATCTCTTTGTTAAAACATACCCAGGATGTGGAAAGTAGCAGAAAAAGGACTAATACAGTGACCAATGAGGTTGTTTTTATGAATTCATAAATTTTTAAGTGTATCAATTGTATTTCAATCTATGGACTCAATATTCATTATGATGCCCAAAATTTCCTATTTTTCCTAAATAAAAGCTCCTTCAAGTAAGTTCCTGAGTCTTTTTACATCAATGGTCTTGACTTCCCATGGTCTCAGGGTTACCTACACAGGGATTTCACCATCTCCCCTTATAATTCCAATTTCTATCATGGAAAATGGTATTAAAGTCCAAAATCTTGTGCCAGGGTGTTCATGGTATATATTTGTTATTGCTTCCAAGCCTTTTCATGGCCCAGAGCACCAGTCTTTATATTAGAGCTTGTTTATTCATTAACTAGTTTTCTGAAGCTGGGTTCTACAATACTTTCTTTAGAGAAAGCACACAGAAACAATACTCCCAAATTCCTGCCTGTTCTCAACTGTCTGCTATAGACAGTTCCCCCTAATCACCACCATATGTTTAAGGACTAACCCACTATGTGATGACATTTGGAGATGAGGTCTTTGGTAGATAATTAAGTTTAGATGAAGTGTGAGGGTAGGCCCTCTCATGATGAAATTAGAACACAAGAATTTGCTCCTTCTGCCATGTGAGGACCTTCGGTGAAGTTCTGCAAGCTGGGACGCAAGCTCTCATCAGAACCCAACTACACCCAGACCTCCAGACTGGAAAATACACTTCTGTTGTTTAAGTCACGCTGTCTGTTTTTTTTTTATGGCACCCTGAGTGGACTGAAACATATTTGCTGGATATATAATCACTGCCTCATATTTTCTTTCCTTGAGTATTGTTAAATGTTACTTTCACCAAGTTGCTAAGGGCCTTTGCTAAGTTGCTGAGGCTGACTGTGAACTTGTGATTCTCCTGCCTCAACCTTCAGAGTTGCTAGGATTGTAGGCATGCACCAACACACCCAGCTAAATGTCACTTTTATCTATTGTCATTAAGTATTCTTCTAAACATCTGATACTACCTTATTAATTTTAAAAATAACAAAAGTTTCTGCATATTCAGTTTCCACTGATTTTGCAGAATATGTCTTGGTACTGAATATTCTGGGTTGACAGTTTCAAGGTACATACTGTGTACTTTTTTTTTTCCCCCCAAAAAAAAAGTTTTCTTGGGCTGGGGATGTGGCTCAAGCGGTAGCGCGCTCGCTTGGCATGCACGCCGTGCTGGGTTCAATCCTCAGCACCACATACAAATAAAATAAAGATGTTGAGTCCACCGAAAACTAAAAAAAAAAAAAAAAAAAAAAAAAAAGTTTTCTTACTATAGCTTGCTCTATTTTCCTGTTTATCTGTTGCATTTTCTCAAATAATTACAATTCAGATTTAACTGGTTCTTTCATATCATTGTTATCTTCTGAATTTTTTTTTGTTCATTTTGTAATATCAGATGGCAATTTTATGCTCCTTTGTGGCCCCACTTTCCTGACTCGGCCTTCATTTTCTGTAGATATGTTAAGATTTTCATCCTCCCTTTTTTTCTTCAAGTATCTTTAAATGGAATTGTTTAACATCTTGAGGTGTAATTAGCATACAATAAACTGCTCAAATTTAAACTTTACATTTTCTGACATACGAACATACTCATGAAACCACCACCATAAGATATGAATCATCTCTGTTTGTACACAAAGTATGTTGACACCCAATTCAAGTCTTCATACATGTACTTTGTATAATGATGTCCATCACATTCCACCATCCTTGCTAACAGAGATATGAAAAATTGTGGTATATATGTGTATTAAGAATTGTAATGCAAAAAAACAAAGTACATGCATAAAGGCATAAATTGGCGTAACATACCTTATATAGAGAGATAAGAAAAACTGTGCTCTATATATGTAATAAGAATTGTAATGCATTCCACTTCTGTTGTGTATTTATAAAAAAAAAATAAAATAAATTAAAAAAAAAAAAAAAGATACGAATCACCTGCGCCTCTTGGCCCTTTCTCCTTCTCCTTCCCCACTGCTCTACTTTGTAACTCTACAGATGTTGGAACTTCTCCAGGATGTAACCAAGTAGAGGGAAAGAAGATGCTGAGGACGGTGGAACAGTGAGAAAGAGCAAGGGTCCATGACTTTGTGGAGATGCTGACAGCTCTGCATGGCTGACCTCGGAACCTCTTTTCAAGAATATCTTGGCTTTTGTTTGCTATGGCCATACTTAACTCTTTTCTATTTTTTCTTTTTGTGATACCAGGGATTGAATCCAGGCCTCAGACCATTCTAGGCAAGTAGTCTACCACTGAGTTACATCCCCAGCCATATTTTGGGGGTCTGAGAGGAGTAAGTGGGGATTAAATCCAGGGGTGCTTAACCACTCAGCCACATCCCCAGCCCTTTTTGTGACAGGGTCTCACTAAGTTGCTTCAGGTCTCACTATATTGCTGAGGTGGGCCTCAAACTTGTGATCCTCCTGCCTCAGCCTCCCAAGTAGCTGGAATTATAGGTGTGTGCTTCTGCACCCCAATTTATGGCAACATTTAATTCTTACTGATAGAACTTCCCTAAGTTTTCCTACATCTAAATCAATGAGCAATCCTACTGATAATCTAACAGGCCCATTCCCTTTCTACCCTTCCTATGGCAAATGCCTTTGTTTAGGTCTATGTTCTAGACTAAGTCCCAGATTACAGCACAGACATTCCTAATTAGTCCCCTATTGCCTATAATTGTTGAGGTCTTGCCACTTCTACATTACTTTACATTATAGGTGAATTTTGTAAAAATGTACATTTGGTCCTGGCATTCCATTAAAATTTGAACAAGATTTCCTCATTGTAACATGCTTTTTTGACTAGTTACATGCCTATTTTTCAAACCTTCTCTCTCCTCTCCAGGTAATATGCGAAACCTTCACCACCAGCCGTTGTTGTTTTTTTGTTTTGTTTTGTTTTTTAGTTGTAATTGGACACAATACCTTTATTTTATTTTTATGTGGTGCTGAGGATCAAATCCAGTGCCTTGCATGTGCTAGGCGAGCGCTCTACAGCTGAGCCACAACCCCAACCCCAACTCCTCTGCTTTGACCAGGTTATTCCCGCTAACCAGAAAATTTCTTCTAAAGTCTATCAAAAGTCAGCTTCTTTACCTTCCCTGTTCAGGATCTGCATGCCTGCCCCTATGGATCCAGAGCTTTAATGAAGCATTTATCATAGGCTACTCTGATTGCTTATTTACATGAACTGCCAGTTGGATGAAGTGTTTCATGTGTATCTTCATCTCCCACATTATCCAACCTAGCTCTTGGATCATAGTGTACCTTCAAAAAAGGTTTAAATGAGTTAAGATGATCAGTTCATGTTTTTCCTCCTGGCTCCATTTCTCTCTTCACAAGCCATAATCAGGTTCTTACTTTCTCCAGGGTACTGTTAGCTTTCATAAGAAAGGTAAAGCTAAAGAAAATATGGACTTAAAACCTAGGAAAAAGATATGTACACAAATAACCACAATGAGAGACTATGACAACTGTCATCTTCACCTAGTTACAAGCAAACTCTAGGACAGTCTGGAGAAGGCAAAGGTCATTCCAGCTTCATGGAGGAGGTGGCTTCTGAACTATAATTTGTAAGATAAACAGGATTCCAGTACATAAATATGAGACAGACCTTGGATACAAAGACGAAAGGGTGTGTGGCATGTTCAGGGCATGAGCAGTAGTCCAGTGTGGCTCCAGAGTAATGTTAACAGGATTAAATCATTTTTAAAAAGTGGTGGATTTCAGAGAACTCGGGAAAGCTCAAGAATTCAATTTTTTCCCCAGATTGAACGCTTGGCCTTACTCAAGCTAGGCAAGCACTCTAACACTGAGCTATATCCCCAGGTCAAACTGTTTTGATTTTCTTCAGGGAGAATATAAAATCTTAAGAACATTCAGTGCCTCTGTCACGCTTAACACCATCTTTCCTTTCTGCTTCTTCTGGTGCAGAAGGGTACCTATTAGCCACCTGTCTGACCCTCTCCCTTTCTGTCTCGCCCCCACCCTCCAATTCTTTCTCCCACTTGTCTGCAGTACCTGGCTTCTGGAGTTGGAGTACTTCAAGAATCTTTTGACAGATTTCTTTGGGGAATGAACACAAGTTTTTATAACTACATTTTTAAAAACCTCTCATTTCCTTGTTACAAGAGATCAGAAAAAAACAACAAAAACACTGAAGGTGACGTCACTATAAGAAGAGTTCACAGGCAGGGTAAAAACATCATTTCTCCCTTTAATCATCCCTTTGTGCCTGGTGAACCCACAACTCACCCCACATGCAGTAAAACACTGGCGTTCCGCATACCAGAGCCTCCTTGTAATATGGTGGGAGGGTAAAGTTTCAGACTCTTATCTCCTGCCTTCAATCATAGTTTCACTTTTCTAATCTCATGAGACTATTTTCCAAAAACAGGCAGCATATAATTTCTCACCTGGTAATCTCCTGCTGTAGCTGTAAAACTGAAGGCACATAAAACACCACTCCAAAATAGACAGTAGGTTCCAATGCATATTTATCCAGTTGCTTCTTCAAAGGTTTCTCCAAATCTACCCATCGGCGCTGATTTTGCTTGTTGTAGTACCAGAGGCTGAAGTAAGTGACCTGGAAAGACAGAAGGTCACTGAAGGAGGCAGTAACGCACAAAAAGATTCCAATGACTTCAACTGTACCAGTCTATGACCTGGGACCAAGTGGCAGCAGTCTCCTATTGCCTCTCTCCTCAGAAAGGGACAACAGCAAGACCTAATGGGACAAAAACCTATCTCTAGATAACTTGTATTCAGGAATTGGTGGCAAGAGTCAATTGCAGATTGTTTCTTCAACTCTGAAAAAAGGAAACACATTTATGGCTATGCATCAGCATGCAGTGGGTCCTATGTCATGTCACAAACAGGCTTTAAGGACAACAAAAATTACTAAAAAACATTATGCTTAGTGTTTTGATTACCAAACTATCAAATTTATCATAATTAATATTTTAAAAGAAGCATAACTGGGGTTCTACCCAGGAGAACACTGACAAAATACGGCTAACCCAACTTTTCACTAGTCACAAATTTGGCTTCTGTAAACAAATTATATAAATTAAAATTTAGCAATATAGAAAAGTTGCAACTGCCCCAAGATTAGATAGGAATTTAAAGGGACCATAATGCTTTAAATTAAAGTTTAATGTGGAAAACAAATTCTGAATTAATGAGCAAAATGTGAAAGTGAATTCTATCACACATAAACACACACATAGGAAAAGCTGTACCTAACACAATAAAATAACAAGTATTAGCATTTAGATTTCACTGATTGTGTAATGAAACTGTCAAGTTAAATCAGTAAATAGTAGCCCTGGGCCTGATCAACCTGAAAGCGTACTAAGACACTTAAGAGTTGAATGGCAGCCTCAGACCACTGCTAGTGCTTACCTCAAAATCAATTTACAGATCAAAGCCATTGGGAAAAAAATCACACCTTCACTGCTTAAAACTCCAGAGCAAGACTGTCAACTAGAACTTTGTGCAAAGGTGGACATGTACCGTACCTACACTATCCAATAAAGCAGCCAATACCCACAAGTGGCTACTTAGTACTTCAAACATGGTTAGACCTCTGAGGAACTATATTTTTAGTGTCATTTAATTTTACTTTGCTTGAGTTAAATAGCTGCTATCATACTAGATAGTATAGCTCTAGAGCAACAAGAAAACCTAGAAATAATACTCAGGTTATTTCTCTGATCTGTAATCCTCATTCAAATAAAAAAATGAACTTTTGCACACGCCTGTAATCCCAGTGGCCTGTGAGAATACCAAGTTCAAAACCAGCCTCAGCAATTTAGTGAGACCCTGTCTCAAAATAAAAAATAAAAAGGGCTGAGGATGTGGCTCAGTGGTTAAGTGCCTCTGGGTGCAATCCCTGGTACCAAAAAAAAAAAAAGATTTTTTTAATTTGCTGGGGGAAAGATTATACAAACATACCCTTAATATTTATTTTTTCTTAAAATGTCCTACAAAGGAATTATCTTTTCTATCAGTCTAATCAAATAAATTCTACAAGAAAGAGGAATATGAACATTATCCCTTTATACAAACACACTCCTAGAATACTTCAGGAATATAGTAAATTTGGTTTAATTATAAAAAAAAGAATATTCTCTTGCTTCTTGGTTGCCACCTCAGGCATCACATATGAATAGAATATCTTGAACATTACAATGCACCAGGTTTTCTTCCATGAACTGTAGAGATACTGTAAATCAAATCACTGCCACTAACTTTCAAGTGGAAACTTCAATCTGATAAACTCCAAAGCCAGTATTATCTCCAAGTATTTTCCCTCAATCACCAAAAAGCTACTAAATTCCCAGGTAATTCTTTTTTTCTTTTTCTTTAGAGAGAGAATTTTAATATTTATTTTTTAGTTTTCGGCAGACATAACATCTTTATTTGTATGTGCTGCTGAGGATCGAACCCGGGCCGTACACATGCCAGGCGAGCGCTACCGCTTGAGCCACATCCCCAGCCCTCCCAGGTAATTCTTGCACAATTAGTTTGAAAAGCACTGCAGTGTACATCACCGTCTTCAGCATTCTGCAGGAGAAACTCACGCAAATGACACCCTATGCTCGAAAAGCTGCACGGAAATCACATTACCATAACCAAAAGTACAAGTCCTACTAATTATTTTCCAAGGTTGTGATTATGATTATAAATGATCACATTATTTGTACGGATAGAATATGTATCACATTAATAGAAACAACTACTGTTCCTTCTATGAGGAAAATGTGCTCATGAGAAAAGGCTTGATGCTCAGAAGTTCAAAGTTCTGGGTTTAATTTCCAGTAGGCACTGGCTAGCTATGAATTGGAAAAGTCCATCAGTCCAATTCAGTTTTCATACATAAAACAAGGTGATACCTCTCTCAGAACTCCATCAGGAAGACTAGGTGGCAAAAAATACATGAATACATTTTGCTATAGAAAACTAATGTATTTTTAAGAGATTATTTAGTTTCACTCATTTGGCCAAATACCTACAAAATCAATCGACTCCTCCCTCCCAAACTTTCCTAACTGTACTTATGTATTGTATGGGGTTTTATTTGATTGGTTTTTTTAGTACTTTAGCGATTGAACCCACAGGTGCTTAACTGGGCCACATTCCCTGGCCTTTTTATGTTTTATTCTGAGACAAGGTCTCCCTAAATTGCTTAGGGTCTCACTAATTGCCTTCCAAGTAGCTGGGATTATAGGTATTCACCAGCATGTTTCACCATATGTTTTGTGTTCCATCTTAGCACTTAAGTTTTGGACTGAATTTACCATGGTAGGTCAATAATGCATAACACTGTTATGCACTTAATTCCACAAACATTTATTTTTTTTCCATAAACATAAAGGCCTTGACAATAGGCCCAGGATAAGAATCCCATAGGATCAAAAATTGTTTGGGCTCAGCGCGGTGCTGTGCGCCTATAATCAAAGTGGCTCAGGAGGCTGAGGCAGGAGGACTGTGAGTTCAAAGCTAGCTTCAGTGAAAGCGAGGCACTAAGCAACTTAGTGAGACTCTGTGTTTCTAAATAAAACACTAAATAGGGCTGGGGATGTGGCTCAGTGGTCAAGTGCCCCAGAGTTCAATCCCCAGTACTCACTCTAGAAAAAAAAAAAAAAACTGCTTTGGTCATAATAGAATGTCATCGCTTTTATTCAAAATTAAAAGGTCTTCAACAGGGGTTTATGGCTCAGCAGTAGAGCACTCGCCTAGCATGTGCGAAATGCTAGGTTTGATCCTCAGCACCACATAAAAATAAATAAATAAAATAAATATATTTTAAAAAAAGATCTTAAACATACTTTGTATAATTACTTTTTCCTTTTAATACAGTTGGACTGGTTCAAATAAAAAACATTTTAAGAGGATTATAAAACTATACATTTATTGTGTAATTTGTGGTTGTGTCATTCATGAACAGAATGTTAACTACCAAAAAATATCTACTTAATAATCTGTAACATTCTAAACTAAGGTATGTTTTAAAAGAAAAACTCTTAAAATGTGCTTAGTTTACTTTAGCAATACATCAATTACTCATGCAACAGATGGATAGAAAATCAAATTCACAGACAGATATATTTGTGAAATTGCATCATTAATTCTTCACAAACTTTACATTTTAGAAAGAAGTAGCAATGACTTTAATTGTGCAATTAAAAAGAATGGTGGGGTTAGCCAATTATTTCTTGATAAGCAATTTTAAATATGAGAGTCTACGATTTGGGACATTTGAACATTCAACCATTTTATACTGTAGTAAAGTATTTTCTGAGGCACTTGCCCTTTTGTTCAAGTTCTATCTCAAAAAGAAGTTAATGCCAGACATGGTTGTACACACCTATAATCTCAACAACCGAGGAGGCTGAGGCAAGAAGATCAGAAGTTCAAGGCCAGCCTTAAGCAGGCCCTAAGCAACTTACTGAGACCCTGTCTCAAAATAAAAAGGGCACGGGATGTGGTACAGTAAAGCATCCTTGGGTTAAATTCCTGATACCAAAAAAAGAAGTTAATTTGGGTTGGAAGTGTTCCTCAGTGGGAGAATGCTTCCTCATCTAGGACGTGCAAGGCCCTTGGGCTCAGTCCCTACCATCTCACACCACACACACACGTCATTGTTGGCCAAAATCAAATTCATATCTTGTTAAATACTTCCATATTTTTAAAATCACTACTAGAAATGTTTATACACAGGTAACAAAATCTCACATTATAGTCTTTGAATTCAATACTTTCTTAGATTTCTATACATACTTAATCAAGTAGCAATATCTGATTCCATGAGATTTTATGACTAAGGCATCATTTGTTTTTGGGATGAGTAGGCAGAGTCTGAATGTAAAATACTGTGATTAAATTCTCATCAGGCAGCCTGGCATAGTGGCACACACCTATAATCCCAATGGCTCGGGAGGCTGAGGTAGGAGGATTGCAAGTTCAAAGCCAGCCTCAGCAACTTGGCAAGGCCCCAAGCAACCCAGTGAGACTCTGCCTCAAAATAAAACATAAAAAGGGTTGTGGATGTGGCTCAGTGGTTAAGCAACCCTGGGTTCAATCCCCATACCAAAAAAAATTCTCACCAGGCAAATAATTTTCTGACTCTTTCTTGTTTGTCTTAGATAAAAATCTTTGAGAATCTGGGTAATTAACTTTCCAACTTAAAAAGGAGGATGTGGTGGGGATAAGGGTCAAAAAGAGAATACTTCCTAACACACTATTGGCCAGCATTACCCTAATACTAAAAGCAGACAACAGAAACCTACTAATAAACAAAACTATAAATATGTAAGGATTGCAAAAATCATCAACAAATATTGGCAAACTGATTCATTTATAGGTACATTTATAGGATTCTATACCATAATCAAGTGGAATTCATCCAAGGAAGGCATAAAAAAACAACCAGTGAAATACTGCATACCATATTACTAACATAACAGAAAACCCACCTTGTCACATGATCATCTCAACTGATGCAGAAAAAGCAAAAAACACAACACCCTTTCATGAAAAAAATAAAAATCTAGAAAATTAGAAATGGGAAAGAGTTTCTTT